CTGTTAAAAGGACAGCTTTATTCAGTTTCTGAAACAGCTGACCGATTTTCACGAAAATTGGTATGAACGTTCGGACATTGAAGGCCACCCGAACTATGTCTCTTTTTTTTCCTACACTTAATAGTAACATGGCAGACAGGATGGTCTAATTGTAACGCCCTGTACATGTATGAGGGAGGAGCTTGGTTCGAATCTCGGCTGGGACACCGGCTATCCTGATTGAGGATTTTCGTGATTTTCTTCAGTCCTTCCAAGTAATTTCCGGCGTAGTACTTCGATTAGGCCAAAACCGCTTCCTTCCAAATCCTTTACAATTCATCATTCATGGATCGTCCTACCGTTCGACGTTATATAATGTAGATACTGACGGCGTCGTAAAATAGCCCTCAATAAACATGGCGAATACGCAAACCTCTGAGGTGGGAGAGAGACACGCTAGCGCCTCTTGATACAAGGTTCCAGTAGGATATATGGTAGCTAATATTCGAAAAATATGCGATTATTGTTGAGTTTTTTGTAGAACATAAAATAACGACATGGCCGCCGTAAAGAGTTGTCTTTAGCTTTCCATTTGATGGAGGTACGTAATGAACCATTAGAGCTAGGTATGTGAAAATTAATACGGAAACACATTATTATACATGAAAAACATCTGTTACGTCAGCAATTATAAATATGGTTACGGTGCATAACTTTCAGGGGATAGTTCATTCGGATTAGCGATGGGGTGCGGGCTGGACGGCCGTGTTTCGATTCCCGATAGGGGCAAACAATTTGTCTTTACTCCACAGCGTTTAGACCGTTTCTGGGGTTCACCCAATCTATCCAATGGGTAACTAGGGGCTCTATCCCCGAGGATAAAGCAGCTGGGGCGTGAAGCTGACCACTCACCATAATCTAGTGCAGAGGTTAAGAACGGTGGAGCTATATCTCCATTGCCCCATATGTCTCCATGGCGTTGTGTTTAAATTAATTAAGGGCAGGGACGACTGTACTTTTATCCGACGAATTGGACGTATACAGACTCTGTATATAAGTATTAAATTCCGTCAAATGGGGCGACCTCGTGCCACTTCATTTTTATCACAACTTGACGTCATTTTTATCAGTTGTGCCATTAAGTAGAAAGTTAAACCAGTTTTCTGTTCTACTCATAGTTAACAGTACGGCTGATAAAATTACATCACGCTGTGATAAAAGTGACGCGGCAAAAAGTCGTCCCATTTGACTGTTGAATAAATTAATAGTAATAGTAGTGGAACTGTAAGACTACAAATCTATGTAGTAGGGATGTAGACTTCTGTGATTTGTGGACGGAGCTCTTGTAGTTTTACTGCTAGCCTCGAGACAGCGCTAGCCATCATATCAGAGCCATCGAAATGTTGTTCCAAGGTTCTTTATTTTACCTTGACGCACAAAAACATCTCTGTGGCAAGATTCCCAATACAGCAGTTTAAAATAGATTGACAGTATTTTAGACACGCACTTTATAATGAGTTATTCGCAGCCGTTTTCATGTGAACGTAGAAGACAGTGCAGAACAATGGGTCCTGTTTTATTGTTAGGCTGCACAAGATACATCTACTGAAATAATTATGCAGCTACAAAAACAGGGTAGGCACAAAATTTCGAACTGTTGAAGAATGGGCCCTTGTCTAACTTTGTACAAGGAAATTCCAAAATAATGCTTTCAGATTATGAATATACCATTATATAATAAATGCACATAATTAATAATGAATTTGATAGAATGTGGAAGGAAGCAGCCGTTCCCTAATTTTCGGTACTATCCGAAAGGTCGCTGGTTCGATTTCCGATGACGCCATTGGATTTTTCTGTTGACCTAACCCTTCCAGCTGCACTATGGCCCTGGGATCGGCCCAGCCTCTTAACAGAAATGAGTACCAGGAATCTTCCTGGAGTAAAAGGCGGCCGGCGCGTGAGGCTGACAATCTCACCGCCATCTGCGAGCCGATTGTCTAGAGAAAATGTGGGAACCACGACGTCTCACAACCCTATGGGTCTTCGCGGCCTGTTACTGGGATAGCTTTACCTTTACCTTTGCATTTACCTGGAGGGACTGAGGTAAACCATTAAAACATAACCAAATAATTTTGTCTAACGGTAAAGTTCCAGATTCCTATTCGGGAGATGCTTGGTTTGAATCTCGCCCGAGGCAATGGCTGTCCTAAGAGGATTTTGTTTTCCTCAGTCCTCCGAGGCTAGTTCCGCTGTGGTACATAAATTAGACCAAGAGCTTTTCCTTCATAATCCTTTTCAATTCATCAGTCATCCTGTCATGCAACGGATACTGACAACGGCGTTAAGTAATCGCTTACAAAACGAAAACATATCAGGATAACAAGTGTCCTGGCAGAGTTCGAATCGGTCACCTTCCGAATTAACGTGAGAAGCGTTACCGCATTGGCTTTTAATGTGGGTCTAATTCTGAAGTAATACATGATATTTCTTTCTTTTTTGTAGGCTCATTAACATTTCAAAGCCCAGCAGTTCCTATATGGCTTAATGTACCATTTGTTTTAGCGTACTAAACCTCTACCTTCTGCCCACAAAATGTATCTGTGCATTTTGTATGGTTCTCATAGTAAACAGCGACTGTTTCCCTAAACGTCATTAACCGGTTGGGCTTTGTAGCGGAGACATGTGTTTGCTGTGAGGTACGAACAGAGCCAATAGTCATACCATGTTAAGTACCTCCACTGTAGCCCTGCGAGTCGTAAAAGGCTACGAAAAGGGAACCCAGTGCCTGGGGGTATAACTGGGCCACCCTGTTCCTGGAGGATATAGAGAGGGGATCCTGGTCCTTCAGGTTGAGGGAATCCCGAAGCGGAGACAGTAAAATATGATCACGAGTCCCGTGGGACTCGGAACTAAACATCACTGTGCTGTCGAGGACCACCAGCAATTTAGCAGTCAGTTGTTTATTCTTTGAAGGGTCAATTTAAGCGTAATATAATGTATGAATCACGAAACTCTTTTCGGAGATGACCCCCAGAGTGAGTACCAGATTCTACCTGCTGCAGTGAATGCATCATTTGTAGGGCAATACGTGTTACATCATGGCCCTGCCTGATAGCAGGATGTGTCCATATTACACTCTTAAATCGATGTATTCTTCGCTTTACACGCTGTAAATAAGGGCGGGACAGCTGTATGTTTGCGTAGGACTTCTGCTGACGTTCTATGGGCCTGTATCAGCTCAGTGTCTTCGAGTTCTCAAACTGATACGTTTACCATATTAGCCAAGACCAGTAACTGCTAACAGAAAAGTTCTGAACTTGGAAGCTCAAGGTCCCATGATTCATTACACAGGAAAACATATTTTGTTTCCTTCGATAACGTAAGTGAAACAAGACGTCTTCGATGCTGATCACAAAAATGATAACCAGAAAGTTGTAACAAGCATACGTTTTGTGCTATCCTCTTTTTGTTTGTATGCATATGAACGTACGTGTAACTTATAACACAATTTAAAAATAACGCTAAATGGGAATAAACCTGTATTTACTAATAAAACATCGTAGTCCCACATTATGGTTAATTACAGGAACAACATAAAATAAGTTCTAGCAAGAAGTAATCGTGGTCGTTCTGGTAAATTGCTGCTGGTCACGCCAGTGATTCTTGGTTCCGAGTCCCTCGAGACTCACGACCATATTTTTATGTCCCACTCGCCTACTTTCCTTACACTACATACTACTGCATACGACACGGACAGCATAAAAACACCGCGGCCAGCAGTTCTTCTGTTGTTGCGTGTGTATTTGTTACCGCGAGAATATGTTTGATAAGCCGTTGCTAAGCAGTCGCCGTCCATTCTGGCTCCACTAATCCGTTTTTCAGGCGTTATGGAAGAGAGACAGACGGTAAGGTTATCTCATAAATCTCTCTTCATTTTTTAAAATAAGAAAAGTAGGCTATAAAGAAGCGAGAAAAAAAAAACATGCTGTTTTGACTCTGAATTCATTACAGAAAACTATGACACGATGAAAATATTTGTGTCCAGATTTGAAATCACCATATGTCAGAATTAATTTTAAAACTTTGTTATTTTGTTACCATAGTCTTTTTTTTAGTGGGTTATTTAATGTCGTCAGTGTCTGGACTATGTAGCGTTGGATGATTACGATGAACTGGAAAATATTTTTGAAGGAAACGGCCCTAGCCTAATCAAGGGACTGAGGAAACCCAAGCCGTGGTTCCTGCCGACGTTCGAAACGAGCATCTTCCGTATCCGCGTTACAGTTAGGCCAACTTCTAGGTCATACCCTCGTTAACTAATATTATTAAAGCTATTCTCTTTAAATAAGTGAGAAAGTAATTCAGACCATGGAGCAAAGATCTTTTAGATAATAGGATTTGAGGTTCTCACAGCGGTGGTTATGAAGAGTTCTATCGTTGTGGCAAGCAAGCTGATTTGTTGCTTGGTTTGTTTTTCGACCCTGAAGGTGGAGGTAACATATTCCTCCGAAATATCTGTCGACTTTCAAAGGACTACGCGACGTTATATCCCAGAAGATAAAATTCTCCTTTTAGATAAATTAATAATCGTTCATTTGTTTAAGACATTCTCCAACTTCTGTGGAACCTGAAGATTCATTACCATGTTCACAAGAGGCAATTTGGCCTCTTTCCTGAGCCACATGAAGTCAGCCCACATATTTAGATCCAATTTCTTACGAGGTCCACTTTAATATTATCACCCCATATACGTCAAATTCCCCACCCGGCCCTTTACTTCACGGTATTTAGACTGAGATTTTGTGTTTCTTACCTCTCCTGTGAGTGCTACATGATGTGCCCATCTCACTAATGTTGTTACACTTTGAAGAAATTAATTACATCCCATATAAAATAAATTAAATTAACTCTCATAACTGAAAAATATGGCAACAAGTATTTCGACTAATTTAATCCCCCCCCCTTAAGGAAGTTAATCTATGAACTTGACTGACAGCAGTGTTTTGTTTTCGTTACAGAGGCGGTTATGCAGTGCTGCCAAGAAGGCATTGTCAAAAATTCCAACAAAGAACATAAAGTCTGAAGATAAGGTGAGTTCAGAGATTTTACGCCAGAAATCTTATTTATGCGGGATTTGAGATTCTCACGCCAGGGACTAGGAAGGTTGTAGTCTTTTGGGTTGTAATGGCCTGTAGTGGGAGGAACATATCGCCTTCATTTTCAGGGTTGATGAGTAAGAAGAAACCAAACTACACTGCGTCACATCCCAGAAGATAATTTATTTCAATTTTTGTTATACAGGAAGTTGGTCTCACAAATTCAGCTGTTAATCCTATATATATATAACTCAAACTTAAAAAATTCCATGCACTAGGAAAACATTTAAGATTAATTAATTAAAATTAATTAATGATTTATACCTTCCTTTATAGGAAATTCAAGGTGATGGTGAATGCTGTGCTGTATGCATTGAACCATACAAGATCTCTGATGTACTTCGTATCTTGCCATGCAGGTAAATATGTAAAGGGACCCATGCATGTTGATAGAAGTGGTGACACCAGTCATCACCATATGTTTCTTGAGCCTTGCAAGTCTTATTGGCGTGCACACTTTGAAATATGTTCTGGTTTCAGTTTCAAGTTATTGTGTTATCCCATCTGTAACAGGCTAATGATGCATGCCTCCCAACAGTCTGATACTGAAACACTTATCTCGAAAGGTCCCCACTCATACAGAAACCCACATGAAAATGCTGTATCATGATACAAGTATTGCTAATTCAGTCAACATACATAGTGATCATTAAATTTCATATAAGTGACTATAAGAAGAGAGAAATTAACTAATACTGTAAAAACGTTAGAAACTAAAAAGAAACATATCCTCATGGAACATACATAATAATTAGAGACATATAAACTGAAACAAAATATGAAATGAGAGGGAAAAAATAACAATAGTCATGTTATCTAATAAAAGTATAAGGAAATATTTAAAAATTATAGAGATGTAACATTCTTTTGTTGGATCTCAGAGAGATAGGATGGGATGGTATGGTTTGGATTGATCTGGCTCAGGATAGGGACCAGTGGAGGGTTCTTGTGAACATGATCATAAACCTTCGGGTTCCATAAAATGCTGGGAAATTCTTGAGTAGCTGCAGATTTGGCAGCTCCTCAAGAAAGGCTCAGCTTCAAAAGTAAGTAGGTAACATTATTTTGTCAATGCAAAATGAATTAGATTCTAGCATCAAGTATGATTTTCTCTTTTAGATCAGAAAAGTAATGAGCAAGGAAGAAGCAAAGTGTGCGATTCTTGTTTAGTCACCTTGTTCTTTGAACCTGAAGATGGAGGATATACGTGTATATTGTACTTAAGTGTCAATAAACATCTACTAGACTACACGGTATCACATCTCAGAAGATAGTAACTGCTATCAGAACCTCAAATCTAAAATTAAAAATTCATTTGTGTATCCTGTCATGTAGTTAATTCCACTTTGAATACAAGACACCATATACATATTGGTATTTGTTTTTATTGGTGTAAAACCTGTGTTACCTCTTATCTAATTTAAATAAAGTTGTCAAACAGAGAATATAAATCTGAAAGTAAAAATGCTGGAACTGGTTCAGACTGTAATTCAGTACTATAAAAAGTTGAAGGTCTGCCTCTAAACAGGTCCTCAAATAAAACTGCAATGAATTGACTAAAGCTTATTTCTTCTATTTTCAGACATGAATTTCACAAATTCTGTATTGATCCATGGTTGCTGGAACATAGAACTTGTCCTATGTGTAAAATGGACATTCTTAAACACTATGGATTTGTTGTGAGTAACATACATACATTTATAGTATTTATAGTGTAGTATATGTCGTAGTATCTTTCCTGTTTCCTGCTTTTCATACACAAGCTTAACCCCTTCAGACCTTAACTGACATACGAGTACTTCATGACCTTGCAATGTCCAGAAGGGTGGAAGTAATGGTACCTGTGAAGACCCAAGTCAGACTCATGGCACATCTCTCTGAATTGTAACTGTGCACATGAGTTTAGCAAATTCCTCATACACAGCAAGTTAAATGTTATAGATTTGTGGTGAGTGTTGCTCAAGCAGTTCATAACGTTATGGTCATGTGGAATGTCATGCTGTTTAATTTGGTAGATGTCCATGTTTACAGGCCTTGCCATTTTAAGCATAATGCACATTGGATTTGGCCATGTCCACTAACTGAGATAAGGACTGCAGGATGTGCATGGATTAGTCATGAGCCTTAGATTCACGGTATGTCTCCTTTCCTCCCACAATGCAGCTGAAATCACTGCCTCACTACTTCTTCCCATACTTCTCCTTACACACACACAGAGGTCAGGCCTTAAATCTCTGCTTGTACCAATATTTTGGAGAACCTGCTGAATACATATTCATGAAAGAACTGAAGATGGAGGAAGGAGGTTTCCCTGAAACGTTGGTACCTATCTACCAAACTGTATGGCGTCACAGCTCACAATCTTAAGATATGCTGATATGAGAACCTCTGGTCTCACTCTGTCTTATAACATTTCTGGATGCATTCACAGCATTTCCTTTCTGTACTTTTGATGTGCTAATACACAAGGGGTGAAACCTATATGGTGGGAGAATGAGTTGAAGTTAGCTGGCTTAACAAGCACATTAAATTTTGTTTTGGTCCCAGCCTTCTTTTGTAAAATATCCTACATATTGTAAGGTAACAATTACATTAATATTACAAAATTTTGTTCATAATGTGGATCTGTACTACAATAGATTGCTTTATCCAAGGAAATTTAAGTTTATGTTGATTTTAAATTTAATAATTTGGACAGTTAACAAAGTGCCTATATCATAGCTGAGACAGTTACCACACAGCATAGCTTCAATCTTGTTTGACTTCATGTGAGATTCATGTGGACAAAGCAGCAATTGGCCGGTCAGGGTAGCCGAGCGGTCTAAGGCATGTACTGTCTTCACTCGCTTGGAAACCGGGATCATGGGTTCGAATCCCACTCAGGTCATGGATGTTTAGTGTGTGTGTGCGTTTTTCTGTGTTTGTGTACAGGTAGAGGCCTTGCGATGAGCTGATCACCCGCCCAAGGAGTCCTACCGAATGTGTAAGATCTAGGAAAACCGAAGTGAACAGAGAAGTTCATGAAGTAGGCCTAGGCCCACTGGGGCTGCAGTGCCAAGAAAAGAAAAAGCAACAATTGAGCAGGGATTTCTGTGATTTTCTATGGTTTTGGTGTGTCCTCCCATCGCCCCACAGTCATTTACCTTTGTCTCAGGAAGTGCGCAATAACCTTGTTAAGGCAGGACAATCTCAGAACGTTAAGTTGAGGCCTTGGTCATTGATCAAAATCTTGATGACTCTTAAGATTAAGGAAGTATGAGCCAGTAAAGTAATTGCCCATGAGCTTCTTGGCTGAATTTCAGTTCCTGGTGGGAGTAGAATTATTCTTTTGGCCTCCATGTTTGGACCAATTCTGGGATCCATACAGCCTCCTATTCAGCAAGTACTGGGCACGGTCTCTTTTGGAGTAAAGTGGTTAGAATGCGAAGCTGATGACTCACTTCCATCTCATGCCAAATTTAAGAATGCATGGAGATTTACTTCCACTTCTACACTTTCATGACATGGTATTTTTTCTTAGGAATAATATTACTTTTGTTGGATTCTAAATTTAATTTAGAAAGCAGGTTCTGAAAGTAAATAATTTGAAGGGAGGTTGTCAAATCATTTTATAAGGTTTTATAATATATTTCTAAATTCACCCAATCAGGAACAGTTGTCTCCTGCATAAGAATGGCATGTTTGCAGGTTGCACTTGTACCATGAATCAGACTGTCAGCATCATCTGATAGAGTGGTATGTATATTCACATTCATAAAGTGAATTAATTGTAATCTCTTTGATTGAGAAGACAGGGAAACTCAGGACACATGCTGAAATAAGCATAATTTAAGCTTAATAAATGGTTCCATTCTATTGTCTGTATTCAGTTGCTATAATTTGCAATATTAGATCACATTATGAGTCTCTAAAATGGTTCATAGGATGCAGAAGGAACAGGGAATTAAGATTTCTGTAGATTTTAGTCACTCTCCATACAGTTTTCATCTCTTTCTAAATATCTCTGATATGTATCTATGTGTTGTCACAACAGCGTGTAAATTTTGTAAATAGTTTTCTGTGTGTCTGTTAATTATCTGCTTTCCTTCTGCCCCCATATATGTATTAAACTAGTGTAACATCCATTGAGAATTCAGCAGGAAGTATCATCATCATCTATATAAGTTTCATACTATTAACTTCTGCTTTCTTCTATACTCATAGTCCTTACCAGACCTATGTGTTGTCAAATAATGTGTCAAGACCAACATACAAGACCATTTCTCATGAATAACATGTACAAATTGTCAGTCATGAAACAAATCTTTTATATAATGTATTACAAGTTATGCGGGGGCACACGGTAGCATAGTTGGTTGAGGGGCTATGCTACAAGCCGTAAGGTTGCGGGTTCAAGTCCTGTTGAGGTTATTGGATTATTTTCAATTGACCTAATCCTTCCAGCTGCACTATGGCCCTGGGGTCGACTCAGCCTCCAACAGAAATGAGTACCAGGAATGAATTAAATAATTTTCCTGGGGAGTAAAGCGCGGCCGGTGTGTAAGGCTGACAACCTTACCGCCATCTTTGAGCTGATTGTCTAGATAATGTGGGACTGTCAACCTCTCACAACCCTATGGGCCTTCACGGCCTGTGACAGGGATAGCTTTACTTTACTTACTACAAGTTATGTATTCAGATCAAAACATTATCAGTACTCAGAGAAGAGAGACAACACACTGAAAAGGAAGACTCCTCACTTGTTCATGACCTAATATATGTTACATTAATGCAGTGTGTTAACATTCAACAGTTCACTTCTGTTGTAACCTGAGACTTATAGTGGCTGTAATGAAACTCATACTTATAAACATATGTAAGCTAGGATATCCATGCATATAATAGCCAAATGTCTGTTTAGCTGTCTTGTCTCCCCATCCTACCCTGTTTATACTAAGTAGCATGTAATAACAAGCAGTTCTAGGAAGAACTAGTTGCCTTCTTTTCCTTCCATATAACATGGAGTGCACAGAAAACGATATGTCCAACAATTCTTCTGTTGTTGCTTGTATATTCGTTGCTGTTGTAATGTTTTTACCAAACCATTGCCTAGCAACAATAGGGAGTTACGCATACAGACACAGACTGATGGGACAGATTTATGAAATATGCCATTGAGATGGGCTCTGGTGCCATGATATACTTGTACATACCAAGTTGCATAAAAGTTGGTTTAGGCATTCAAAAGTTAACGGTGGGGGGGATTCACAGACATGCAGACAACAGGTGATCTCATAAGCCTACTTTTATTTTATCAAAATAAGGAATGTAGGCTAAAAGAGAACTTAAAATACAAAAGATATTCCCTTTGGTGAGACAGTCCTTAGAAAATGATTAATTTTGCTCTTACATGCATGGGTTCGAAAAAAGTAAATTTCTTTCTGCTCTGTCCTTAAGCAAAGCACTGAGACCATGATTACAATCTGTATATTTTTATAGTAATCATGATAAATGAAATGTGTTGACACTAGATTATGATGTGATGTATTTTCATTTACACTTGTTTTTAAGATGTTTGAAGAGTTATAAGCAGTGTACTACAATTTTATATATGTGAAATTCCAAAGATAGGCTGCTTCAGTGTGGGAATTAAATTTTCTTTATATCACTAGCCTTAAAAAATTATTGACTAAAGATCACAAAATTACCTGTATGAGTCCAGCAACCTAGAGAAATTAAATGTAAGTAGCTTCCACTTTTTCTTAAGCTCTGGCACTAGATGGGGTTGAATGGTTAGTGCCACTTTATCTCCAGGGAAAGAGTCCCTGGTACTGTCTCAGTGGATTCCAGATCGGCCATGGTGGCAGAAAAAAAGTCTGTGCTCCTGCTGGAAATTAGACCAAATTAGACCTTGATTCTCCCGTCATCCAACCTTTAGCCTAGCCACTTTACTGAGATGTCCATTTCTCCATGCATGTGTGTAGAGTCCTCAATATATGCGTGTACATGCTGCACATGCTATATCCTAAGTTTAGGGTTGACCCTCATTTAATGTTAAACTTACCCCAGCTGTGTATTCTCTCCTTTTAAGATTTCCTTCTGTTTACTGTTGAAATTTAGTGTCCCACAGAGAAACATCAAACAGGATACAGTAAAATTTTATGGCTGTGAGAAGAAAGTTAACTCTAGTTTAGCAAATTGGTTTTTGGAATACACTCTGTGTAACCTGCTAGCACATAAAAAGATTTAACAGTTTCTTAATACTTAGTATTCCATTTAAATTTTTATATCCAAGGGCATGCGTTGGTAAGCTGTGGCTCTTGAGAAGAATGTGACTTGCCAATGAAATAGTTTAGGTGTAAAGAATCTGTGCAAGTAACTTCAAAGGAATCCATTTGTTCACCAGTTATTGTTCTGTGCCCAGATGTTTGAAATTGTCTCTGAATATTGACAAGGAGGATTGAAGAGTCACTTCGTTTTAAAGATGGAAACAGTAAGAATATCTGAAGATAGAAGTTGACTAACTTCTACATTGTTGTACTCATATTAATATCAACTGTAAGGGTCTAATAAAACTGGCATGGTAACTGTTAACAAATTAAAGATCTTTGTTTGTAGTTTACTGGTAGCCAGGAGAGTATTCTGCACATGGACATTGAAGATGCAGGAACTCTAGGATCTGGTGTAAATAATGACACTGACAGGCTACAACGGAGAAATCTCAGTCCTGTATTACAGATCCGACCCATGGAACATCAGGTATGTCAGCTATGTGTGGTTTTTTTATTGTTAGTGGGGTGGGACTAAGTCCTTTGTACTGTGGCCACTTCTGGCCTATTGTACCAGCCCCAGATGATAGGCGAGGGTGATTGTGGAGCAATTGGTGGAATGAAGATTGGCAGGGGAAACCGAAGTACTCAAAGAAAACCTGCCCCAGCGCCACTTTGTCCACCACAAATCCCACTTGACCAGACCCAGGATCGAACCCGGGCTGCCGCGGTGGGAAGCCAGTGACCAACTGTGGCCCTATGTGAGGGTTAGAATGATAGTTGCTAAGGAAGTGGGACTACTAGACTCCATGGCTAGATTATCTTGTATATCATTAAAATAAAGAGTGATTTTAACACATTCACACCATGTTGCATTTTGCATACGAGTATACTTGTGCAGTTCTATTTGTGTTCTATAAATGCAGCATTTGTGGTGTGTTCACAATGCAAAGCTGCAAAAATGTGCCTAGTAGCTCTGTAAAGTACATCTGACCTCATGCAATAACACAAGAACTATGGGATGGATTTTCATGAAAACTGATAGTGAGTTTTACTAAAGCATATTGATTAATTCCAATTTTAGTTAACAGACAATTTACATGGAAATGTAATGTGTTTCTGCAAACGTCTTGAATATAACTTGCTGAATACTTGTCAGAGTGAAACATGTTTGGGACAAAAGTAGTAGAGAGAAATTATATTTATATATTATTCTGAATACACTTTTTCCGTAACTCATAAAGTTTTTGAGAAAATTAAGTAAAAGGACTTTTATATTGTGTAATGCCATAATTCAATTACCATTTGAATTATTTTACTATTCTTGCACTCTATATATTTACATTATTCATAGGAGAGCATAGACTATTAGAATTCATGAATTTAAGGTCTGGAGACAGCAACAGGTTTGGACACACCAGAATTGCTACGCTGTATGTACATCTCTTTGCATTTCTTTTTGGATAGGGACAATGGCAGTGACAATTGCTACTCTTAATGAAGTACATAGTTTTGGTAATGTGCACTATGCTAAGGGTAATTTGCCTGGGGTTTTCTGTTTTTTTTTTTTAATCAGAGAGGTTGGTTAATTAGTGAGTTTTCACTACAGCGAATGAAGGTATTAGTTATTAATTGTAGCTTTTTAAGGACTGAAAATGATGCTTTCATAGGCAGTAAAATATTTGGTTACATCAAAGTAAAGGTGCCTTGTTTTTAATTAAGCATCACACCAGGAATGACATATAAGGACTGGAGGTATAGCTCCAGTCTTTCTTAACCTCAACACTAAGTGGGAGCAAGTTAACACAGCTTTACCCCCCAGGGAAAGATCCTCCTCTCTTCTTGTAATTCTTGCAGTGACCATTGTATGAACTGAGGATGATAAGAATGGAACAGTGGTGGCATGATAATTTTCAGGGGAAAACTGATGTAATCAAAGATAAACCTGTCAAAGTACATCTCTTACTACTATAAATTCTACATGGAATGCCCTGAAATTGACTTCTGGCCACCATGATGAGAAGCCAGCAACTAACTGCCTGGGCTGTGAGAGCCTCAGAGCTCCTAGTAGCCATTGGACGAGAGGTTGGGATGTTTAATTATGTATATCCATGTATTCTTGTAAGTTTCTATTGTAATTTGTCTTGCAAGATATCAGGCTCTGCTTCCCCTGATGTTCAGAGCCGTAGCAGCCGCGCATCATCTCCTGATGAGCTGACACCAACGTTGTGTTCAGATAGGTGTTACATGGGTGCCACATCTCATCCAGGGGAATCTCCTAGCCTGATGGATACATCAACACAGTATAGTACAGCAATTGCAGGTACTGCCAGCACTTTAGTTTCATAGTAAAACAATATTTTTGTCCAATGCATAATTGTTTTGACATGGACCATGGTAAAGTTATCTCTGTACTTCATTGTGCAGTTAAGCGCCATGTGCCCAATATACCATGAAGGCGTAGGGGGAGTGGAGGTATAGCTCCACCACGCATAACCTCAGCACTTGATGGCAGTGAGTGCCCTAGCCCCTTTATCCCTGGGTGGTCCCCAGAGCTGCTTTGGAAGCTGTGAAGAAAAGAAAAGCTTCTTGGTCTACTAGCAGTTGAATCCTGGTTGTCCAAACCATAACCTAGTAACTGTACTGACTGTGCTATGCCATGCCTAACGCCTACATTGCGTTATTGATATACATGTACATGTCTAGTGTTGCAATCACTTATAAAAATCGTACACTTTTTACATATTTTTGTTAGGTTTTCCCCCCTCTATGATAATAGTATGACTAAACAAGAATGCTCAGCAGTAATGATTCTGATTTGTACTTTTGAGGAGCTCATTTTGAATCTTGGTCAAAACACTGATTGTCCAATATTTTTTTCTGTGGCTTTCCTATCCCTTGATGCCAGTGCCAGGATGCTAGGTCTTCTTCAGTTCAGGCCACAATTACATCCTTCTGCATTTTTCAGTTTATCATCCAATCTTTGAACAGTATACAGTATGGTTTAATGTTACTGACAGTATCATTAAATAAACAACAAATAAAAATAAAATGAAAATAAATAAAAGAGTATTATGACTTCAACTGTGGCATTTTGGATTGACACCATGCAGTCTTTTTGGTGATAGATATTTCACAGGAATCTCATTTTTGCCCTGAAGGTAGCAGTACCAGGCTTCTCTAAAGTGTAAGTAACCACCCACAAGACTGCATGGCACCATAAACCAGATGCCCAAAATCTACATCTTCATTGATGAGAAAGCTTCAGCTTTCATGTAAGCAGAGCTGTTTTTCAGCCGGTGCACATTCCAGCAAACGATGCATTTTGGTAAACATGTCAAAAATCAAATTTATGCATTTTATTTTTCAACCTCGAGGATAAAAATTAAGCACAGGAGTACCAACAGACGTGTTCTTAGAAATGAAGGACTTCACATAAGAGTACAATGACTTTTACATATGGAATGTGGGTTTTCGTCTTGCATCATGAAATTTCTTCCTCAGAATGGCCAAAATTTGTACTGTTCTAATGAAGCCATTACTATGAATGAACTGAAGCTTTTATATCCACAAATATTTCAGGTGCTCATCACAAATTGGAGAAATTCAGCAATTGCACGCTGGGAGCCCCTGTCCCAGAATCAGAAAACACCATTAATAACAAGTGTGACATACCCTACAAGTGTGACTATGAACTCAGGCAAATGCCCAGTTGTGATATACAGGATTGTGAGAGTCTGGGTGTAAGCATGAACACTGGCCCATCTTATGAGAAGACAGAACAGGTTAGCAAAGCAGCTACAGGGGAATGAAGGACAAATATGAAGAAACTTCAGGTAACATCAGTAATGTTCATCATATACTGCTGTCAAGAGTTAAAGGTCATGTGTTAAAAGCTAACCTCTGCATACATCTTTGTGGCTGGCTATTTTAATATCTTGACATAAATATTTCCTCTTATCCTAGTCTTACGGATGCAACAAGCGTACTTAATGTAAAACTGTAATGGAGCATTTTGCTGAATGGAGATACTATTGAGACTATATTATCATTTTTCATAATTAGGCACTTTGTCATCCACAGGAAATATCTTGATAATGCTAAAATGTTATGAAAAAGGACTGTATGTTTATAGAATGAAATTGTAATCTGCAGATCATATTGACCTTGCAGTCTTAAGGTGTCTTCAACGGTTTGAACTCTGGGATCATGAGTTTGAATCCTACTTGGAGCATGGATGTGTGCCTGGATGCTTTTCTGTGTTTGTGCTGCCTGTACAGCTAGGGGCTTGTGCTGGACCTGTCCCCTCTCCAAGGAGTTGTTCCAAGACGTTTTAACAGATTGATACTTTCAGAAATTAACTCTGAAATGAAACAGGCCAGAGGGCCTATTCTGGAAAGCTGAAGAAGAAGATGAAGAAGAAATTAAGAATTTAATAAGAAAATCATACAAGCAAATACTATAAAATATTGAAGCATGGCATACTGCAGTAGATGTTTGGCATGGCAATTTTTAACTGCAACAAATTTTACTTCTTCCAGTATTTTGTAGAAGTCAAAGGAAATAATGACTTCCCTAAACTGTGGTGTATTATCACATTTTTCAGAATAAGACAGACAGCAAACATTTGTTAAGAGGTGTCTGCATCGTTAATCTTGTTCAGTCTATAAGCTATAAAATAACTAAAATTTCTGACAGAACAATACAGCTATTATCTATGACATAAAGTAAGATAATGTACTAGGCTGACATTAATGTGACAGAAACAAGTATACATCCATATGTTGACCTCTTGACATCAGTGCCAGTCATGTTTTGCTATATCCAGTTGCAGAATATATGGTATATTGTTAGTGATGACAATAGTCCACTGTATGTGTTTCTCTTCAATGAAGAACTCCATTTTAATGTTTTATGAAGCTGTGTTACTCATGATTGTGCCATGAAGTGAAGATCCTTATCCAAGTTTAATTATTCCTCCTCTACTGTATACAGAATGGGACAGAAAATATAGACTGTGTTACTTGTGAAGAAATCTTCTTTTGTTTGATGAAGGAACATAAATTTAAACATTACTATGTAATATAATCATCAGGGGATAGGAAATCTTCTGTTCTGGCTTTCGCTTCCCATCTCATTCTTGTCCAGCAAATAGCTATTCTCAGTGTACAATGGATGGCCTGTTTTGGTTTTCTCATATAATTCTTGTGTGTATATGTTATAACTACCAGGCTCTATATTCTGTAATTTTGTCTTCTGTGTAATATGTTTCTAATTCTCTCTGTAGTGCGTAATACTTGATTTCTGTCCATTCTTATGGATCCCCTGACTCATTTAAACAATTTCATTCCTGTGGACTGAATCTTTATTGTGTCTTTCTTCTTTACTTTCTGCATTTCACTCCCATGTATTGATACTGGATATATATGGTACAAAGATTGGAAATTAAATGTGATGCATATCCTGACAGTGTAATGAATGTCTCTATGTGTAAGTCTCTTGCCATAGATTTGCATCGGTATAGAAATTTGGTTGGCAGTCAAGATGGATGCTTCACTGATAGAGCATCATGTCACATGGGCTGCACCTTAGCTGAAAATGTTAGTCACTGTATTCCCACCACGGTAGCCTGGGTTTGATTTCAGAGCAGGTCATGTGTGATGTGTGGTGAACAAAGTGGCATTATGGCAGGTTTTCTCCAAGTACTTTGGTTTCTGCTGCCAATTCTCATTCCACCAGCTGCTTGATATTCATTTATCATCCTATCATCAATGCCATATAGCCCTGATACTGACAGAATCATTCAATAACAGACATAAAATAATCATGTTACATGTCACAACAAATTTGGTTATTTCAGCATGATGGTGCTACACCACATACTTAAAAAAATAACCATGACAAAGCTGTGTGAAATGTTTGCATCTCAAGAAGATGGCAGTCTTCTGGGATGTGATGCCATATAGGCCAGTAGACAAGGATCAGCATTTAGGAAGAATCTACTGCTTTCATCTTCAAAGTAGAAGAGTGATATATCCTGAAGATGGAGGCAGCAGGTTCTTCTGAGACACTGATATCTACAAAACTACAGAGTGTCACATCCCAGAAGACCATAATATTCACTGCTGTGAGAAGCTGGAGTCAGATATATGATCTCATGGTCTAGTCTTTTAAATAGGTTGCCAAAACTCCTCAGTTTATCTTCTCTACTTGTCTTTATGGGAGTGCATTAAGAGTTATGTATCCCTCCAATTCAGATGACCTTGAGGCCAGAATCAAGATAAGATATTCAGGCCTTACTGGAAGAATTGTTATAGTGCTGATAGATGATTTTACTAAGCACAACCAAGAGTTCATTACTGTGGAAAAGGGCCAGTGACTGCACGATATTTTTTCAGAAGATAACAGTATGTGCATCGTACTTAATTTTTAAGTTTCATATTATGTGATAATGTACAAATTTATGTTCCTGTACTGGCCAAAAAAAATGCATTCATGCTTCACTCACTACATTAAAAATGGAAAAGATACTGATATTATTCAACTTTAAAGAGGTATAAGTTAAAATTATTCCAGTTTCACCAGTAACAATATATAAAGAAGCAAGGGATAATAATGTGTTGCAATATCATAACCAAGGCAGATGAAACTGTTAATTAAGCATTTGGTGCCCAATTCTTTTATGCAAAAAGTGTAACAGATGTTATAACCATGCTGTGACTTTGAAATGGAGATTTTGTGAGATGCATTGGGCAAGTTCTGAAACTCTGCAGAGGAATGTTGTGTCATAATATAATCTGAAAAGAATGTTATCAAAAAAATTGCAAGCATCCAATCTTCGTGAAATGTAGACACTGTTTAATACACAACTATTTAGCTTAACTGAAACAATGCATTTTCCTACTGTATCTGAAGATCAATTTTAATAATTAAAATTATTATTAATAGTATTATGAAATATATTTTGTCAAAAAGCAACTATGTACCATATGTATGGATATGTTCAGGTGTAAGAAATTTAAAAAGCCTTCACATGATACATGGAAGACACATTTAAATAAAGGGTACCTTGTAGTCATGATATCACTGGAAAAAACAACCATATATCAGCCAGAATCTTGATTTACTTGATTGTCACACAAAGTAATGTCTTATATACAGATAAAATTAGGAATTGTAGTAAGTAAAAAGTAAAGCTGCCCCTGTACCAGGCTGTGAAGATCCATAGGGTTGTGAGACGTTGAGGGTACCACATTATCTAGACAATCGGTTGTTAATTGTCAGGAACTGTAGTAGAAAACACATATATCATTCAGTTCACATTCAGAATAAAAATTACCCATTGTAATTGATGTTCTAATACATGGACAAAATTGGATGTCAGGAGCTTTCATGCAATTTATTTTCTTCTTGAAGATTTAATTAATGTAAAACTGTACTTATAAATGGTTCACAACTATTTATATATTCAATTCTTTAAAGAACAGAATAAATCTAAATGATGTTATTGAAAGAATAAGACATTCAGATTCAGCATTGGCTGCCTAGCCAAATCAGAACTTACAAATTCGGCTTTGCAGTATTTCTTCAATTTAGTTCTCACAACTGTAAAATATGGATTTAAACCAATAATACCTTAAAGTATATTATCTATTATCACATTTAGAAATTCTTTGAAACAACTTTCTATATTGTAAAGTCCCACTGGTTCTGACATCTATAGTACTGGCAGCTTCTCATGCCTCAGAGCAATCTATTGCCTTTATCTTTCGTACTGTACCACCTAGAAGACTCTCGCTGTACACAGACACTATGAATTTCCATTTCTTATGACTTAACTTTTACCTAAAAAAATCAATAAAAAGATGATATTTCAACTTCAGAAAAGCCATCTAATAGAAGAATTTTATCAACAGAACCTTCCTGTTTCAATAATAACTAAACAAAAATACTTATAATAATATATTTATTCTTTATAAAAGCATTTTCTTTATAATTAAAGGCAAACAAACTGTGGAGTTGTGAAGATACACTTATGTTTCAAATACTTTGTGAATACCACCTAATGTTTTGTACTATGTGATGATTAAATGCAGCAGAATGTTGAAATACAACATTACTTTATGAATGCACTAACTGGATTTAAATCTTAATGCTTTCAATCACGAAATCTGTCATGCCTATACTCAGGAAAAAAAAGAAGAAGAGATTTTTATAACTGTTACAATATCAGTATGTAGGACTTCCATATGCTCCAAAATAAAATGCATGGGTGAAAATACATTTTTATTCATTTTCTGCTGTAGCACAACTTCATCTTATTTTTTTTATATATATTGACCTCACTTGACAATGTAGTAAATGTTTTTCCTTTAAATATTGTGACATATTTGCGCTATGCAGGACACCCCCTCCCCTGCCAGCGGTGACATAACAGCTTCTGCTGCTATGGTAACAGGCCAGTCAACACTCCCCTCCCTCCCCCGTGGTGATGTAACATGGGACACCGCTGTTGACACAGGCAACAGGGAACGGTATAAGAAGCTGGTTGAGCAGTATGTGACGAGAGTGTGTGATCAGGAGTGACACAGCGTGGATCGTGAAGTTCCCGAGGGCAGTTGCAGTCTAGCATTCGCCAGAGTGAATGGAGAATTAATTGTGATACTGCAGATGGCAGTATTTGTGAAGTTTTAAACTGTGGAATAAATTCGCTATATCCAGAATGGCGTGAAGTTATTTGTCATGTGACATGATGTGAAGAGACAAAATGAGTCAAGTATGATTTTACAATTGCACTGCAAGTGCCTTGATGGACAGTTTAAAGGAAAATGTTGTAGCATTTAGACCTGTTAGTGGGTAACAGCCTTGAAACAATGAAACAACATCTGCTGCTTGGCAGCAGATTCTTAAAAAGAAATTATATGCAGCTGTAACTGAGTAATGCCTTCGCAAACAAACATGTTCCCAAGGAAATACTCTTATTACAGTACACAAGAAACATGGTATGAATATTATGCCTCTCTGTGTGAGACATAGCTTTGCAAATTATCGTAGAAAGAAATCATTATGCATACTAGAAGAGATACTAGTCTTCCAAATACAAAATCTGTTAATCAAATGTTCACAATACAAACAATGAGTTGCATTTGTTTGCATGGGCATCAGCAGGAGTGCACAATACACCCTTTCAGACCATAAAAGGAATGAAATTATGAGAGACTGACAAATTCCATGAATAACAGAATTTACAGAATACAGAAGAAACTGGAAAGAAAATATTCAGCGGATGAGATCTGACAGTATTCTGAAAAAGTACAGGAAATAACTAGCAAAAAGGGAAAGATGTTTTAGAAGATCTCTACAGTGACAGAAGGATTATGTTATGTAATATACATAGCAGAGGTCTAATACTGAAAGGAATGTAATGTATGGATATTTAACTAAAATCTCTTCTGTTTGAATTTGGAACTTAAAAACCTGTCCCACTATGGGGCAGCATATTATTAAAATAAATTCACTTAGCGTAATCGAGGTGGGATGAAAAGTATGCGATATATGGTGTAACGTGTTGTGGCTGCTATGACAGGACCATCACTTGTTTCAGCTATATCGAGAGCTATAATTGGGTGTTGGCCAAGTGAGTGCTTCCAGTACACTTGCGCCAGATTCAACGTCAACAGGTCTGTTATATGAGAGAGCAGGTACATGTACAAAGTTCCTGGAACAAAACAACAAATACATTATTTTAGTTAACTTAATCTATAGTGGTTCCGCATTGCATTATAACAGTGAATGCGTGTGGTCCACTTGGTAAGCATAGTATTACTTAAATATTTATACTCTTATGCCCTAGTTAAAATTTGGTCACAAGTTCTGTAGTACAGTGAGGTCCAAACCTAAGTAACATGAGCTTTAACAGGACTTTTCCAAGCCACAGCCAATGCTTTAGCAGGGAGTTTTTTGATAAACCTTACCAGTGCAGGCACAACTTCTTGTTAGCAACATGATAAGATTTTATCTAATTTGCCTATATTCTAAAGAAACTGCTGAAAGTCCATCTGCATCAAAACACATCTTGCACTTGCATCAGAAACTGTAATATACTTGCTGCAGCTCATCTCTAATATTGTACATTATGCTACAAATTTCATTCTGGAGGGCCTCTTAGAGAATGAAGATTGTTCCTGTACATTCTTTGCTTCAAGTTTATGAGAAACAGCTTTCAATGAGGAGACCTGTGTGATATAATGGCATGGGCACATAGGCTCATGGTCAAAACATTGCCTGTGCTTGAGTCCAGAATTCTGTATAACACTCCCCAGCTAATGCATCCATTCGTTCATTCTGGCAGGGAAAAGCCACGTTCCAAGTCATGTTAAAGTGAAAGTTGCTTAGTTTTGGACTGTTTCATCATCATCATCAGTAATCTGTCAGACGACAGGTCCACAGTCTCTTCCAAAACAGTTTCTCCACTTAATGCGATCTTCTGTTTTTGGAAAGAGACTATCCAGGAAAAGTGATAATGTGGTAGTTTTTCCATTTGCTTTCCACATCGCAGTACAACAGCCGTTCAAACCACTCTGGTCACGCCTGTTGCTATACGAACTTGAACCATCTCGAGCATCATTTGCTCTGTGCTTCAAGTCGCTGCTGATGACGCTGCTTCCGACGTCAGTTTTTGGTGTCTCTCTTCGTCTGATGCCTACCCTTTGACCTGTCCAGCAAGGGAGGCCCTGCCAGTAGCTACGCTACCACTGGTATAGCTCTCAGGGTCCTTGGCATACTCAAACCCCCTCACCACGATAAGGTGGAGACTAGCAGATTGAGTTTACTATTCATGGATAACAAACATTAATAAATAAAAATGTTATCTAATAGTATGTTGTCAGATATAGCATTACTGGCCTGAGTGCTTGAGGTAAATGGAAATGTACCCTCCTAAATTCATAGCAACAGTGATCAGGTTATATGTAATATTGAGAAGTGACATAATAGTTATGAATGGTAGTTGATAAGGATGATATATGTAATTTTAACACACTACTCCCATGTTGCATATAGAGTGAGAAAAAAAAGACATGCGAAATCTCTTACAATATCAAGTCCTTTGTTTCTGATTTTAACCATGGACTTTCCACAAGATTTCAAGTTCTCAAACAGTGACTATCAACATTACTGCCTTCTGGGATGTGACACTGTGTAGTCTGGTAGACGGATACCAGTGTTTTGGAGGATCATACTGCTGCTATCTTCATGGCTGAAAGGCTTGAATGTTTGATTCTGAAAAAGGAAGCAGTATATTTTTCCAAAAGCTAGATTTCCAACTACAAAGTGTCACATCCCAGAAGACCGTTAGACATAGGAGCGTTTACATTTCCATCTATGTATCAACAATAAAAGACAGGCAAGGTATACATCATATTTAACAGATCCCACAGCTTACCACATTCCATACCCAGCAACAGAATTTCTCCATACAGTAGCACTGTGATGGGATATGAATGAAGATATGGCATAGTATTGTACTTTACTGGTCTACAACCATTTACACTGGTATACATGAAATGCTGATCTGCAACATAACACAGCACAACATATTACATTTTTGTTAGGAGTTTTCTAAAATACACTTCAGAGTGTAAAGCGAAACTTTAGATTTTCACATGAAAACAGTTAATTAAAGGAAAGAACATGATAAATAAAAGTATGTCAAGTGATTAAGGGAAGAAAATATCATATATGATGTCCATTTTCTGAATTCTCTGTTAATCACTGCAAGATTTTTGGTAGAAATTTCTGCAGATGTATTACTCACTCACTTACTCATGGAGCTGAGCCCTTCTTGAAGAGCTGCCAAATCTGCAGCTACTCAAGAATTTCCCAGCATTTTATGGAACCCAAAGGTTCATTACCATGTTCACAAGAGCCCTCCACTGGTCCCTATCCTGAGTCAGATAAATCCAATCCATACCATCCCATCCTCTCTCTCTAAGATCCATTCTGACATGTATATGAAAAACCCTTCAAAGTCAAATTGCCTGACAGGAGTGAATGGGATTGGCCCGATAGGAAAGGAGGACTGATCTGGTATACAGATGGTTCCAAGATAAATAAGGGCATTGGAGCTGGTGTGTTCTGCTATGGCACGAGACAGAAACTTAGTTTCAGCCTTGGGCAGTACACGACAGTATTCCAGGCAGAAGTATGTGACATTAAGACATGTATTATGGAGAATCTAGATAGGAACTACAGAAATAGGAACATCTACATTCTATCTGACAGCCAAGCTGCACTTAAAGCGCTTGACAAACACCAGATCAACTCAAAATTGGTCTGGAATTGCCACCAAACTCTCATGGAACTGGCCAAACATAACAGGGTATAACTGATATGGGTGCCGGGGCATGAGGGTATTGCTGGAAACGAAACAGCAGACCAATTGGCCAAGACTGGAGCTGAACATCCGTTCATAGGACCTGAACCAGCCTGTGGCATCTCTATAGGAGTTGCCAGAAAGGCAATCAGGGACTGGACAAATATGTAGCACGAGAAATACTGGGGATCCTTGACTGGACTCAGGCAAGCAAAGGGACTCATACGAGGACCCTCTGCTAAAAGAGCGAAGGAACTGTTGAAGTTAAACAGGAACCAGCTACGATGGGTGGTAGGACTACTTAGAGGACACTGTCACCTTAAGGGACACCTCTTCAAACTGGGACTAAGTGACAGTCCCACTTGTGAGAGGTGTCAAGAAGAAAATGAAACAGCCACACATATCCTGTGTGAATGTGAGGCCTTAGCTTATTTAAGATTATGTCACTTGGGTCAATATTTTATGGAGCTAAGTCACTATTTTGATGTCCCCATGTGCAAAATCCTGCGCTTCATTTGAAGCGCAGGATTGCTAAGGCGATAATCAGAAGGGGAGGCACATTAGATCACTGTGGTTGCGGTGCAAGGGCCAAGATCATTCATTCATTGAAGATCCATTTTAATATTGTCCACCCACCTACACCTTGGTCTTCCCTGCAGTCTCTTTCCTTCTGGATTTCCCACCAATATCCTATATGCATTCGTCTCCCCCATTCGTGCTACATGCCCTGCCCACCTCATCCTCCTTGACTTGATCATTCTAATTATACTTAAAGAAGAGCACAAGTTATGAAGCTCCTCATTATGCAAAGTATTTAAAAGACAGAAAAAAAAAAGACTAGTGTATTTCTTATGTATTTTTCCTACAATTATGAAACAATTATATCCAGGCCATTTGAATATTATACCATACCAGTAAGCAAAATGCTGATCCCATATCTCCAAAGAAAGACCTTCAAAATTTTTCTGCTTCGTATTTCTTTCCACGTGTCTGGCGATGAAAACTGTCGAAATGCTCCATCTTGAAGCAGTTCATAGGAGCCTGAATCACCTCCACGAAAAATGGGACTGCACAGTCCAGTATGTGCCAGTGCAGACACCTGAAATAATTGGAAAATTATGTCCACCACATATATCAGCAAGAGAACAGTAACATCTAAACACCTGAAAAACATCTCAATTTTCAATACTTTATTAATTTGATGTAAAGAGTGGACATCGCCGGTCATGGTAGCAGAGCGGTCTAAGGCATGCACTGTCTTCGCTCACTCGGAAGCTGGGATCGTGGGTTCGAATCCCACTCAGGGCATGGATGTTTGTGTGCATTTTTCTGTGTTTGTGTTTGCCTAAGGAGTCCTACCAAACGTCTAAGATCTAGTAAACCGAAGTGGAACGGAGAGTTTCATGGAGGTAGGCCTAGGCTCAAATGAGGGCTGCAGCGCCAAAGGGGGGGAAAAAAAAGAGTGGACATCATTTAAACTTTGTATTCTGTTCTAGACAAAATACTATAACAGAATGGCTGTAAGAAATGTCTTGGAAAAATGATACAGAACAGGACTAACTTCAAACCCCATATGGGCCACACTGTACTTAAGTACATATTCGTGGACCACACAATAAAAATATATTTTTTGCCTACTTATTTTGAAAAAATAAGGTTATGCATTCTTCATGCTGTCTGTGTATCTGTATCCCCTACCAATTAACTTATGAATGCCTGAGCCAGTCTTTATGAAACTTGGTATGTACATGATGACACCTGAGCCCATCTCAATGGTGTACTTCATAAGTCCCTCTCATCAGTTTATGCATCTATATGTGTATCCCCTATTGCTGCCATGGCAACAAATACACGTGCAACAGTATAAGAATTGTTGGATGCACTGTTTTCTGTGTTGTCTGTCATATGAAGGAAAGAAAGCAATTATTTCTTCCCAGAACTTCTTGTTTAACAGTATGCCAATATACATATCTGCCCCCCAGAACTTCTTGTTTAACAGTATGCCAATATACATATCTGCCCCCCAATGATGAGATCTCCAAAGGAGAAGCATATTGTGGCATATTTGCTTTATACAGGAACTGTTGAGCCACAGAGGCCTTGGGGCAAGCGTGCAACGGGAGAGTTGTGGATTGTATCAGCGCATAGCTAGGCGACAACTCTGTGAAGTCGCATACTGCTCAGTAAACACACCTCCATGCTAGGATGTGACATCATGTAACTGGTTTCTATGGAGCCTGCTGCTGGATAATCACTCAGTAAACATGTTAAAACAACATAGGCTGTTTTCTGTGAGGTCAGTGTGGATGCTATATAATGACATATACAGGCAGAACAGGAGTCAGTGTTTGGCAGTATTTGAGAGTGTTTGAGTAATAGCAACCAGGAATAGAGAAGTTTGCACTGTGAGGATGTAAAGTGTGACTGGAACATTTTATGTAAAATATTTGTAGTGGTCTGAAGTGACAGTTTCTGTGTGGAGATCCGTTGCTATGAGACAACTAATGGAAGACAGAGAATCCTAGTGTGTTTGAAACAGTGAACTGGAGAGTGTGTAAATCAGTGATAGTGCTGTATTTGAGTGTAACTACGAGAGTGCAAGTAACCAAGCTGTTAATAAATCCAATCATCTGAACTAGAACCCGTCATTTCGTCACACGTACCCTCCTACATGTGACAATATGAATAACAACTGGACCTAAAAATACTTATTTAAATGAAATCTTATGATGGTCAACATTGTTTAAAATCAGCTACAAAAGGTCTGCAAGACTGCATACACTTATGGACTCGTACTAATTCCATGTTATTCTAAATTATTTATTTGGTGTTTCATAAAATTAACTGAAAAATTATACAGAATATTTGGCAAACACTTTTCATAGTGATTTTTTGACAAGATTTGCTGACATTTAAAAATGAGGAGGAAACTAGTGGGAACACACATTTTTGGAAATGGAAGGATGCCCCTGTGGTCACATAAAATCAACTGGTTGGATAGCTCTGATACATATCTCAATCAGAAATTCATTCCACTTAACCCTTGCTGTGCAGAGTCTTCTTGGCTAACTTACAATAAAGAAGTGTCAGAGGACATACATGTAAGTATATGTAAACCTAAGCTAATCTGTCAAAAGATACAAGCACAAGAGTTTACATACATGAGAAGCAAGTCTATCCCAACTATATGCAAGGATTTCTCCCTGATAAAATGTTTCCTTGTATGCATGCAGACATATATATTATAAAAATACCAAATCCAGTGTTTTAAAAGAATAAAACAGCATTATATTTATCAGATTAGATGCTGCTTTGCCGGCCATGGTAGCTGAGTGGTCTAAGTTATGTACTGTCTTCGCTCGCTTGGAAACTGGGATCGTGGGTTCGAATTCCACTCAGGGCATGGATGTTTATTTTGTGTGTGTGCGTTTTTCTGTGTTTGTGTACAGGTAGAGGCCGTGCGACGAGCTGATCACCCGCCCAAGGAGTCCTTCCGAATGTGTAAGATTTAGAAAAACTGAAGTGAACAGAGAAGTTCATGGAGGTAGGCCTAGGCCCACTGGGGCTGTAGTGCCAAGGAAAAAAATGCTGCTTTAGAGATAAATGTTGCACTTTTACTTAAGCATAATAAATGATCTAACGAGTACACTCAAACATAAAATCACATAGTCTATAGCCCAAACCAACTTGTCTGTAGTGGTAAAACCATTACAATAGAGGACTGTACATGTGGGTACCACAGCCACTTAAAATACTAAGACATATTTTGGTGTATGTAATAAGAGTCACCATCACATAATAATGAACTTCCATGCTGGTATATAATGCAACATAGTCTACTGAAAGTCAACTTACGTTTTGAAGGAACCTGTTGCCTCCATCTTCATGATTAACCAGCTTGAAAGCAGATGGAATGCAGTAGCACCTTGGACCATGAAGATGAAAGTGACATGTTCTTTTGAAATGTTGGTTGATATTTAACAGGGTACATGGTGTTATATCTCAAAAGACAGAACTCTTCATAAACACTGTTCTGACAACCTCAAATCCTACATTACTGAGAATATTTGTGAGTTCATTTGAGGTATACTTCAATAACCATAACAGGGTAAAATTAAATTTGGTCAAATTAAAGAAGGCATGGGAGTCTAACTTGTTCATAATGTTATTTCAGCAAAATAAATAACAGTTTTTGGTACATAAATGACATATAAAAAAGAAGAAAAATTGAGAAGTTCTTCACAGCACGAGTTTCACATCGGGCAATGTCCATTACCTGAATAGTTTTGTTGCCCCAAATGGTGACAGCTTGAATATGAGGCCGAGCCATTCGTACTGTGTGTAATTTAATTATTTCAGGAACATTTGTGTTGCAAGGAGAAGCATTCAGTTGCCATATTGAAACACTTCCAGTACTGGTCAGGGAAACAAAAATGTTCCCAAAGGTCCTGAAATGTAGTAAATTTATAACACATGGCTCTTTATAATCAAATCAGTCTGTCTTTTAGGCAACTTTCATAAAAGACACATGGTGGCTGGACATACGGTGTCCAGCGACTGCAAATACATTAGCGTGAATACTAGCATTCACACAAGTGTCTCAGTGGCCAAGATACTGACTTGTCTGGGCACTCGAAGTGCATCGAGTTGTATGCTAGCATTCAGACGGGACATACAGAGTCTAGCGTCACTGATGAAATGGTGGATAAACATTTTGATACCTCCATCTGAATGACTGAGGGCAACATCAACGTGGGGTTCTGACGTCAGAGCCACTAAGTGTGCGTGTTGTGGCGTTGAGTGGCTGTGTCCCAGACTCTAGTCGTGTCTTGTCTGAAAGTGGCCTTAGATTCTAATATTAGGTGTTCCATCAGTTTTTTTTAGACCTGGTCATTCTCAAGAGAATGTGCAGTGAATTTGGTCAAGTCCACCAACTGATACAAGGATTGTAGGGTGTGTAAGGGTTAGTGAGGGGCATCAGTTACAGTGTGTCAACCTCACTCCCTCTGACAATGCACCTGCAACCACTCCCTTACTGCTGCTTGCCATGCTTCTCCTTAACATGCAACCTGAGACCACATCTAAATACAGAGCCTGGATGCTGCATACAGTAACCAAACTCAAATATAAGGCTGTGCCATAGCTCAAGCGGTTAGTTGCTGGCTTCCCACCATGGTGGCCCAGGTTTGAACCTGGGTCTGGTCAAGTGGGATTTGTGGTGGACAAAGTGGCGCTGGGGCAGGTTTTCAGTACTTCGGTTTCCCCTGCCAATCTACATTCCACCAAATACTCCATTATAATCACCCGGGGTAGGTACAGTAGGCCAATCAGTGGCCGATGTGCTGAGTGGACCCAGCTGGACTCCACCGCCCCCACTATGCAAATTAAAAAAAATTAAACTCAAATATCATTAATAGCCATGTAAAATGCACATGCACAAAACTGGAAAACCAAGAATTGTCAAATTTTTACACATCAAAACGAAACTCCAGAAGTTTAACGATATGTTACATTCATACAAATTCACAATTGACTTCTTTAACATATGTATATTCACTTCATAAAATCTTCCAGCTCTGTACTGTCAGTATACATTCCCTTCCTAATTTGACATGTAGATGGGGTCACAGGTGGAGGAACTTCCCACAAACAAACAATTAATTATAAATTATTTATTCAGTCAGAAATACTCTCCCATTCTCTGAAATATGCCATTAATACCATTACTTACCAGATCCTTAAATTATACAATTCTCAAAACATTTAGAGACTAAATTAAAATATTCTGGGATGTTATACCTTGTAGTTTGGCATGATTTTCTCATTGTTTTCAAGGAACATTCTGTTTGATATGTTGGGATTTTGGACTTTATCCATCGTCCTGGTTTTTAAGATAACAAATAAAAACACGACGTTTCGGAAACTGGATCTGTTTCCGTCCTCAGGTGAAGGAAAACACCTATTCAGTTGGGTCCCTTAGAAAGAGCTAGCCTCAATCACTGGACCAGTGATTGTGATTGTTTCCATATTTGGGGTAACAGAGTGAGTCATGCAAATAAACAAGCTCTGCTTGCCTGGCTTACTCTTCAGTCCTGAGATAGGGGGAGTATGTTCCCCTGAAACACTGGTAAACTTCTACCACGCTACATGGAATCATATTCCAGAAGACGTTACTGCCATGACGACCTCAAGTCTCATACATATCTTCACCTGTAAGGTTTGAGGTTTTCACGGCAGTGACTATGAAGAAAGCAGTCTTTCGGGATGTGGCACCGTGTAGATGTGGTGTTAACAGACGTTTCGGAGGAACGTATCGCCTCCATCTTCAGGGTAGAAGGAAAAATAAGAAATCCTTTTACCCTGAAGATGGAAGCGATACGTTCCTCCGAAACATCGGTTAACACCACATCTACACAGTGCTACATCCCAGAAGACTGCTTTCATCATGTCTTCACCTTCTTGCTTTCTCAGTTACAATATCATGGAGTGTGGTGTGCCGATTCCTCAAAATGTTTGTATGCCTTTACTGGACTACAATCTATCATATCTCAGAACATTATTTCTGCTATGAAATCCTCACATCTCATACCGGAGTGTTATCACAGCCTCAAAGTCCTCTTCAACAACAACAGGAAATCCACACAGCTCTTTGTATTTGAATCCCAGTGGATTTAGTTGAATATTATGGCCATATGACACTGATACTACCAAGTCATGTTTCATCTGAGGTGAATCATTTCTGCATTCTCCTGTCAGTAAATTAGCAATAGTGTATTTTGTGCAGGCAAATATGTACAGTAAATCAACAGTTGTCTGGTATTCAAGTATCTGGAATTCTCAGCCAACTGGCAAAAATTTCTAACAAAATTTGCCATTTTTATACAGCTATTCAAAAAGAGACTTGTAATGTGCATATGTTCACCTGCCATGTGGTACTCCTCCCAGCACTCCCTGTCCTCACTCATACACTTGTCATTTCAATAGAGGTTGGCTGAATATGTGATCACATCATAAAAAAAAAGCTATCCCTGTAACAAGCTGTGAAAAGCCACAGGTTTGTGAAACATCAAGCTTCCCACATTTTCTTTAGGCAGCTGGCTAACAGATGGCAGTAAGGTTGTCAGCCTTACATGCTGGCCGCCCTTTACCCCACAGGAAGATTCCTGGTACTCATTTCTGTTAGAGGCTGAGTTGACCCCAGGGCCATAGTGCGGCTGGAAGGATTAGGTAAATTGAAAAAATCTACCTCATCGTCACTCAAACCCGTGACCTTCTGGCTTGTAGCATAGGGCCTCAAACATGCTACCGTGTGCATCATAGCATATTTATCTGAAATCTTTAATCCATCAACCTGCTATGTCATGTAGAAAGACTCCTGTGCAAGGAATAAAGTGAAAATATGTTGTTTTTGAGTTTGTATTGGGTTCCTGCAAGAGTTTCTCTCATGCAACTGGTAGATCCACATAATCAACAAACCCCATTCCTCTTATGTGCTGGATAGCGGGAAGTTTACTGTATTTCAAATGCATTCTTTGCTATTTTCCATACCTCATTTATTGAAGACAGAAATTCATTGTTACATGCTAACAACAGTACAAATATCTACCACACTGAAAACTGTTTCAAATAAAAGTAGAATTTCATGAGATGTCTGTCTCAGTTTTCTGTGACAAGGCAAATGCCACGTCAGAGACGAAGCCTGCAATTTCACTACGACCAAGAATCTTGATAGTGTACTGTCTGGTGGAGACTATTACACACCTTGAATTGGTGATAATGAGTACAGCAAGGGAAAACTGAAGAGACTTGGGGAAAAATCTGCTCCATTGCCAATTTGCCCACCATGACTCTCTCATAATGTTATCCTGGATTGCCAAAATTAATTTTGTCCAACAACTTTCAGCATAGATCTCCTAATACCAAAATCTTAAAAATCTATTCAGTAGTTTCAGGATTAAAACCTAATGATAGACAACATTGTATGTGTGTCCACTGAACTCAAAAATACACAGTAAACAATGGCAGAACGATGCTTATTATTGAGATCGTGGTCTCCTGGGTTGTTACGCTGTGCAGTCATGTGGATACCAGTAATTAAGGGGAATAAGCTGTCTCTGTCTTCAGGTCAAAGTGACTAGGATGATGATGCAATTAGGTTATACAGGCAAGTTTTGAAGAAGGGAATCACTCAGATCCTTGGAAGGGTGAGGAAAGACAGAATCCAGTCCAAGCCAATAAGTACAATGAACAAGAAATGTGAGACAAAGGCCCATTTTGGGACTGAAATACACTAGACTACACGGTGTCACAACCCAGAAGAACCAAATCTCAACAATCCATGCTGCGAAAATCTAAAAACTCACCATTGAAAACCATCACACCAAGATCTATGACATGTGTCATATGGGATGCTACCTTAACACAATTATTGGAATTCCAAAAATATACACCACCATTTGTATGACCTGAAATAATATATCTTCCTGATATCTTCATGCAGGTCACTGCTTCTAGATTGAAATCTCCACACACATTTTTTGTGATATGTGGCCACCTTCCGACATGGTGCCATTCACACCATGTTCTGTAGACTACTCGCCATTCAGAATCGCTAGGACACATGATATGCCATCTTGGGTAACAGCTGTTCAACAGTTCTATTCTTACATCTTCATCAATCTCCTTCTCACAGCAAGTTTTCCAAATGTGAGTTCGCTAATAAAAAACAAAATAATAAATTATTAATGGGATTTTATTCAAGGATCATGACGGGTCATGACAGTTCAGCTGGCTAGGCTACAAGCTGCCTGCCCAAGGAATCAAGGTTCAATTCCTGGCAGGAGTGAGACATATCTTAGAGAATCAAATTCCATGTGCAGTACCATCAATAGGAATAAGAATTCCTGCTGATATTTTATTCTTAATAAATACAGGCAATTTGAACTTAAAGTTTAAAACATACTGGATGACATTTTAGAACTGGGCTCAGCTATGACGGGTGGTGGGACTACTTACAGGACACTGCCACCTTAAAGGACACCTTTTCAAACTGGGACTAAGGCCCTCCATACACACACAGTTTGGCCTTCCGATCGACCTTACAGGCAAAACTTGCAGTTTACCCCCTCCCTTTCCTCCCCCATACACGCGCATATAAACCGGCAGGCTTCTTGCCACAATCACGGTTTTCCAGCCTATAATGCTGAGTCACACACGTCATGTGCTACGGTCCTGCAGGTAGAACTGACGGGTTCCCCACAGGCCAACAGTCCAAACGATTGGCTGGCTGGCCGCACCACACACATCAGTTTTGCCTTTCAGTCTTCAACTGTGCAGGCCAAACTGTGTGTGTATGGGGGCCCTAAGTGATAGTCCTACTTGTGAGAGGTGTCAAGAAGAAAATGAAACAGCCACACACATCCTGTGTGAATGTGAGACCTTAGCTTATTTAAGATTATGTCGCTTGGGTCAATACTTTATGGAACCAAGTGACTATTTCGACGTCCTCAAGTACAAAATCCTGTGCTTCATTCGAAGCACAGGATTGCTGAAAGGGTAATCAAAAGTGGAAGCACAAGAGATCACTGTAGGTCGTGGTGCAAGGGCCAAGAAGGCCCAACCCTTATACATTCATTCATTCATTAGAACTGGGCTATTCAGTAGTAGATATCCCTAAAAATTTTCCATTTTGTATAAGTCTTTACAAGACAGGGAGATTTAGATCCCATTATTAGAAATTCTTACTTAATCATTGCTGAATACATGTTTTACTTCCACACATGAGTATCCCAACCTAACAAGCCTTACAGGCTATTCACTTAGTTCTCATTATATGCCTGTTTTAATGACAAAAAGAATTAAGATCATACATCATACAATACTAGAAGGAAAAATGATTTTCAAGTGCCAAATTGTAGCATATCAACTTTTAAGAAGAGTGTTATCAATATGGGTATTAAATTATATAATAGACTGCCTCTGGAATTAAGAAAATCAGATGGATGTAAAGACTTGAAATATGGGCTAAAAGTATTGTGGTGTGTTATATGACGTCCATCACTGGGCAATGAAACAATGGAAACTGCTGAGACCATTGCGTAGGAATATTCATAGCAACAAGTGTTCCTTGCATAACAATGCTCAGTAAAAACACCTGACAACAATACCTGATATCTGTTGCCGAGCAGCAATGTGTTCTCTATGTGGTCCATGTCGAGACTATATAAGGAGCAGCAAACACTATTCAGGAATGAGTGAGTATTCAGTACAAGTTGGAGTCTGAAGAGAGTCTCCTTCTAAGGCAGTCTAGTATTCGCCGAGATGCAGCGGAAGCAGTAATTGTGATACCGCAAGTGATAGTAACTGTATTCCTGACTGAAGTAAGTGTGGATGAATGAGTTCAATAAATAATCGTTGAATCCGAAGGCTACATGAAGTTATTTGTCGCGTGACATACCCAACACGTGACAGCATTTTTACTAGATCATCCATTCTATACATTGTATGAGTTCCTCTTAGAGGGACAGTAGTAAGCATAGCAAATCCTCTATCCAGCAATTGAAATAGATAACATTTTGTTGCTTGTAGTATCTTAATGTGATCGGTAATTGTCATGGTCACATGTAGGACTCTTTGATTTACTGTAACACTCTTAAAATTATCTCGACAAACTCATAAGGTTGGCTTGCATTTCAATTTACGTATTGTACGTAATTTGATTATTTATCTGGTTTGATATTTTGTGTTATATTTTAATTATAGGTTAGCCATGTCAAGAGTGATTATTTATTGTTTATAGATTCTAATCCTTTAGGCATTTGGGCAAAAGGATTTCAAGAATGATGTATTTAATGATGTGACTTGTCCAAGTGTTACTGTTGTAGCAATTATGAATGCCAAATCAATCAATCAATCAATCAACTGAGGCTGTTAATCTCTAGTAAACAGATAAGAGTCTATGCATTGTAGTTTCTTGGAGAATACCTTCACACACATTACAAAGCATGAGAATAGTAACCCGGTTGCAGATTTCTGCAACATTTTGGAGTAGCTGGAATATTCTCATAGAGTTTGGGGTACACATGAAACTACTTAGGCTGGTTAAAATGTGTGGGCACCTACAGTAAAGTCTGTATAGGTAAACACTTGTCTGATATTTTCCCATCCAAAATGGTCTAAAAACAAGGAGATGCTTTATTGCTACTGCTTTTCATCTTTGCTTTAGAATATGCCATTAGGAAGGTAAAGGAAAACCAAGTGGGACTGAAATTAAACAGGACACATCAGCTGTTGTCTATGCTCATGATGTGAATCCACTGGGAGATAACATATGAGTAGATACCATAAAGAAACACAGAAAATTTAATTGATGCTAGTAAGGAAGTTGGCCCAGAATTAAACCCAAAGAAAACTAAGTAAATGCTGCTGTCTCATCACCAAAATGCAGGGCAAAATCATAAAATAAAGATGGCTAACAAATGCTTTGAAAATGTGGTACAGTTCAGACATTTGGGAATAACAGTAACAAATAAAAATTTGATTCAGGAGGAAATTAAGAATAGCCTGAATGTGGGTAACACTTGGTACCATTCAGTCCTTTTCTCTTCTTGTGTGCTGCCTAAAAACATAAAAGTTAGAATATACACATGTGGGAACATCCCACATATTATCACAACACCAGCACGCGCGCTAACCAATCAAATTGCATCCATCGTTTGCATTTATACAGCGCTTGCTGCTAGCCCGCATCCACAGCATTACGCGCGCTAGCCAACCAGTGCTCAGCAAATTTTCACTCTGCCATCATGCATTGTATAAAAGGCGGAGCACAAGCTCACAAGTAGTCGGTTCTCAATCAGTCTACACTCAGTCAACAGTCAGTCTACGGTCGTTCCACATCAGTCTACAAGCAATCAGCACACTTCGTCGCCAGCGCTTGGTCTTTGGAGGCATCGGCACTTCACTGCGCCAGGCACGACTGCCTCGGCTGTCCGGCGGTCTCACACCCGACTCACTGGGCAACTCGGCCGCCTCGATTCGCTGGTAGTCATGCCCGACACACTGGGCAACTGGCGTAGCTATCGCCTCTCCACTCCTGCGACCGCGCTCAGCAAGCAAACCTTTTCCAGCAACCAAGCAACCTCCAGCAACGGCCGCACTGTGGCCAGTCAACTGACTCAGCCGCCTCAACACACCACAACCAACTTCCCTTCCTACCAGCGGGCGTCGTGCTACTTCACCGGCCAAGCATCTCAGCAACCAATGGTCCTTTTCAGGACCTACAAACTGTTCCGAAGAAGTGGGTTGTCATTGAAGTAATGACAAAACAAAAATCCCACACACAACAATAATTTTGCCTGTTGTTTTGTTAGGGTGTGAAACTGGGTCTCTAACATTAACAGAGGACTGAGGGTGTTTGAGAACAGGGGCCTGAGGAGAACATTTGGCCTGAAGAGCGATTAACTGATGAGGTTGGAGAAAACTGCATAATGAGGAGCTTCATAACTTGTACTCTTCCCCAAGTATAATCAGAATGATCAAATCAAGGAGGATAAGATGGGCAGGGCATGTCGCACACGAGGGAGAAGAGGAATACATAGACATAGGTAGAATGAAAATATTCGAATTGATAGGATGGCATGGCATGGACAGATATTGCTCAGGATAGGGGCCAGTGGAGGGCCTTGTGAACATAGTAACGAACCTTCAGGTTCATATAATGTTGGGAAATTCTTCCGTGGTTGAGCCACTGGCGGCTTCTCAAGGTCTCAGCAGAACAGAGTTAAATAGACTTCCTACTCTAACCTCCCTAACCTAATTTCAGGCTATGACATATACAATTCCCAAATACTTAGTAACTTTCAGGATCTCTTCAACGTTATAACTGTCACTGTGGCATATAAAACCATTCGTGTCACGCATGATTTAAATTAATTCCTCCCCATACCTTCGACAGACTTTGGACCACCTCCTTCCACAACTTGCATACTTGTTCACAACGTGCAAGTAATTTTCCATTTATATGTGGAAAAATAACTTCCATAACCTCGTAATTTAAAGGCGGGACCATCTTATCGATCTTATCATTCATATCTGTATTTCGTTTTTCCTGCTTGCAGGCACCGAAACGTTACCTCCAACCACAAACTAACAATCACTAATAATTTGGTTATGTTTACAACCATTAACAATGTTCACTTCAGATCAGGTTGCCAACATTGTCAATATAAGATCATAAATTGTTTTAATACTGTTGTATTAGAAAACTAATTCCGATAGTCAAAGTTATTCCGGGATATTACCTGTGGAAGCATAACTTGGGACTTCATTTTACAAATCTTGATATGTGATTGTAATGTAAAGAAAACGTTTAGCTTTGTTGACTTTACTAATGATTTGTATCTATTGGTGCCACTGACGCTACCGGTCACCACTAATCCCGCTAATGTAGGAAGCTGCAGGAAGCAGGATGCGCAGGAAGTGCGATTTGTATGACGTTTGCAACGAAGGACATGGCTCGTGTAGGTGGGCTAGATTTGCCGTAGTCGCTAAGTGAAAGTTTAGGACTGAGAAGTTACGATGACAGGAGTGTATAATTTCCATAACTGCATGTCACTAAACAAGATGGTTTGTATCTCATTAAAGTAAACACTGTATATTTGTGTATAACACACATGAAGACCGTTGTCAAATTAACGTTAGGTGAGATGAATTGTCACTTGGGCAAAGAATTTTAAATTGCTGCGTTCTTTAGTAGGTGATTGTATAACCAAGACTAATTTTTCCAGGTATTGCATGACGTGGATATACATTAAATAACGTTTAGAAGAGTTTTTAGTATCCATGCATTTCTGTGATACAGCGTCAGGATGACAGTGATCGTATCGGCAAAACAGTGGAAAGACGCGTTTAAAAGACTAACTCTTTTGCTTGTGGTGCTGGTTGTACTGTTTTCATCGTTTGCTCAAGCTGAAAAGGAACCAGTTGAAGCTGATGGTGCAAAATCAGACAATCCGCCTTCGGTGGTGAGTTACAACGGAGAATTTTTATAACCATTTATAATAATAATAGGGATAGCGCACAATGTGCAAGTTTTTTATAATCATTTATGGGCAGCATCATTTTTCCCTCTTAGATTTAACATTATTTCATCTTCTTCCCCTCATTTTCTTAGATTTCTTAGCATGATGTCTCTGGAGTGGCATGAAGAATTCTGCCAAATTTTATTCAAATGTAAGAAATTTTTATTATTAACTATGCTGCATTATTCCACCATATTCATTTTAAGTTTACTGTCAATATTAGACATACTACCCAAGTAATAAGATCACGGACAATTTCATTTTAGTGAAAATCTCATAAAAATGTTGTTGAACTGTGACTGAAATGTAACACTGTTGTAATCACTGTTTCAGTTGTATGGCAAACTTTTACTTGTCCCCCCCCGGTGATGACTTTTATCTTCATAGTTCTTGGGTGCAAGGCCTCATATGTGTAGAGTTTTTAATATTTTAATGTTTTGTCTTGGCTCTCAGACGGTTTGTGCTGTGCTTGGCTTGTATACCCTATCTTGGTGTTGGTACAAGTGTCTGAATCTAGAGACTAGCTCTATTGATTGGGCCTAACTGAGTAGATTTTCCGTGAAGATGGAGACAGAATCCAGTCTCTGAAACGTTGTTTTTTTAAATATTAACAGGATGATGGATAATGTCCAGAAACATAATATTTGTACTAATGTACCATCATCACAAACGTTTAGATTTTATTTACTGATTCATAATATTTAATAAAATGATGTTTCTCATGCTTTGCAGACATCTCTAGGAAAGAGGAATTTTATCTTCTGGGATATAATGCTGTATTGTCCATTGAAAATCAGCTGATATTTCAGAGGAACCTGTCAGCTCCATCTTCAGGGTCAAAGAGTATGCTGAGCAAGAAACCAACATAAAGCAAGTGCTTGCTACTGCCTTCATGCTGGGTTCTTGCTTGGCTTATCCTTCGATCCTGAAGATGGAGCTGATGTGTTTGTCCAAAATGTTAGCTGATTTATAACAGACTACACAGTGTTATATCCTGGAAGATAGACCTCTTCATAACCTCCACTTTGAGAACCACAAATGCTACATAGCTCTGAGAAAGTTCACAAGTTCCCAGTTTGTTTCACTCTCTGTTTCTCATTTGGTGGAGTACAGTATGCTGAACAACATGATGTGATCATTACTTCTTCCTCTTGTTCAGGGGGTCCCAATTTCGAATCTTGGTCTGGAGACTGGGTGCTCTGACTGAGGTTTTGCATGGTTTTCCTGTCTCTTAAGTCAATTCCTCCAAATCCTTTTCAATTCATTATTTACTGATCATCCTTCCATTTGATGCTGTGTAGTTAGGTACCGACAATGTCATTAAATTAATCATAAATAAAAATGAAAGTACGTTACTATTAATGCACCTCTGGTATATGTCCAGTGGGAGTCAGGATAGCGACGGGCTACAAGATGGATTGCTCGGTTTTGAATCCTGGCAGGGGTAAGATTTTCCTCATCTCCACAAAGTCCACACTGGCTCTGGGGCCTGTCCAGCCTTCTATCCAGTGAGTATTGGGTGCAGTTTCCATGGTGGTAAAGTGGCTGGGACTTGAAGCTGACCACTCACCCCCATCTACTTCCAAGGTTATGAATGGTGGAGCTATACCTCCACCTCCCACATATGTCTTCATGGCATAGTGCTTAATTAAATAAGCAACTTTACCTTTATCTATTTATCTGTGGCTCTAGAGCCCTTATGGGCGCATTTTCAGTTTCTTAATCTACACACAGTCGGTAGGACTCCTTGGATGGGGGATCAGCGAGTTGCAATGCCGGTGCCTGTGCACAGAACAACATAGACCCAGAATAAACGCACACAGACAGTCATGCCTCAAGTGGGATTCGAACCCATGACTCCAGGGGGAAGATGGATCATGTCTTAGGCTACGTGGCCACTGTGATTGGCAAGGGGCAACTTTACCTTTACCATATGTGTCCAGTAGTTGTGACCAGGCAACATGTTATCACATTCTTGGTCGTTAAGTTTATTGCTTCATCTCAGACCCTCAACTTGGCTGGTTATGGTAAGGAACTTAGTTAGTTAGTTAGTTAGTTAGTTATAATTAGGATATTCGATACCTGTACAGTTGGTTACACTGTGTTATTGTCAGGTATCGCTGGTCTATTTTCTTTAAAGTTTGTTGTATGTTGCCATCTGGAATGACTAATGTCTGTCTACAGCAATATTTAATCATTAATATTTCTTACTTCACAGAGAGGTCATCTTGCAGAAACTGCCGACATAAACAGTGGAAACAAAAATGAGCAGAAAAGTAACCTTGGCTTTATTCATGCATTTATTGCATCTGTATCAGTTATCATTGTGTCCGAATTGGGAGATAAAACTTTCTTCATTGCCGCCATAATGGCAATGCGACATCCCCGCCTCACCGTGTTTGTTGGAGCAATTACTGCCTTGGGACTCATGACTATTCTGTCAGGTAAGAATTATGAATGATGTAACTTTCATTGTCCAGATTTAAATCTCCCACTACTGTGGCTGTGTCAAATAGATTTGAATTTAGCAGTAATGGGATTCGTGTTGTAATAAAGTGTGAAGTTAGACCTGCTGGGGCCTGCCAAACCAGTGTGTGTGCCGACACAATTCTGTGACCCACAGGCAGTGAAGGTTAAGGAGCAAATAACCGTTCATATTCGTTTGCAGTCAGATGTATCTGCTTCAACTTCAGATACTGTATTTATATACATATTCATCATCCCTACTTTGTGATCACATCTTGTTTCAATGGCAGAAAATTATTAATTTGTTTTTAGCTATGAAAGTTAAGGCAAATTTTGATTTACATAATAACGTTATGTTTGAATTGTTATTCTTTTTCAAGTAGAAACCCCCGAAGAGAGGAGACCATTTTAAGAGCCTAGGCATAGATGTGAAGATAATATTAAAATGGATCCTAAACTTGTACCTACTCAAGAAGGACTCTGCTCCATGTGGTTGGTTAGATGTTTTTCGAGTTCATGGAATTGATGTTTCTGTATTATATTTTGCCCCAAAATGACAAGAAGAACAAATGCAAGAGTTACCAGCAACGCTTTACAGTCAGGACCTGTGTGTTTTGGTGAAAGAAACGAAAGTGTAATTGGGATTAAGGTTTCACCCAATGAATGCTTTTGTTCTGTTTGAGAATACAGACATATCTTGAATTCTGGGGCCCTTCAAAAATGGAAATTTCTGGTAATTGAATAATATTTATTTATGGAATTATGGAACAGTAGGGGCACACGGTAGCTTAGTTGGTTGAGGCATTGTGCTACAAGAAGGTCACGGGTTCAAGTCCTGATGAGATCATTGGATTTATTTAATTGACCTAATCCTTCTTGTTCTATGGCCTTGGGTTCTACTCAGCCTCTAACAGAAATGAGTACCAGGAATGTTCTTGGAATATTCTTGGGGGCAAAGGGCGGCCGGTGCATAGGGCTGACAAAATGTGGAAGCCTCGACGTCTCACAACCCTATGGGCCTCCATGGCCTGTTACAGGGATACCTTTACTTTTTATTGATTATGGAACAGTGAGATTGCTGTTTCTTACAGATTGTTAAATTCAGAACTTGTCAAATTAGCATTCATAGTGTCTTCTTTTTTGTAGGTTATTTGATGATACTGTCAGTATATTGTACTTTAGATGGTAGGATGATTGATAAATTGGAAAGGATTTGGAAGGAAGTGGTCATGGCTTAATTAAGGTACTATCCTGGTATTTTCTTGGTGGCCCTGATGAAAACCATGAAAAACTTTGTCAGTATAGCCAGTGTCCTGGCCAGGTACCTTCCAAATGCAAGCATAGAAGATTACCTCTAGACCAACCTGTCCGGTGATATTCACAGTATCCTAATGTGGTCATACCAATTAATTTAAATGCAGTTTGAAGCCTACTTGCTTTCTTTAAGGAAAAAACTTAGGTATCTGAGGTCACTCTGTTTGTATGTCTCCCCTGTTCACCAGTTAACCAATTTTTCACAGAGCTTGGTATGAATGTTGTCAAACTTTTTAATTTCCTGCAGTGACTAATAATGTGGAAGATGTACAAATTTGTTAAGTGGGCCTGACACTTCTTCATCTTCTTCATGAGGCTCGACAGCTTCATTTCTTGAACGCTTTGGCCAACTCAACAATTTCCTTCCAACTACTTCTGTCCTGTCTGTGAGTTATCCAGTTGTAAATTCCTAAATCCTTTAGGTCTTCCCTTACATCATCTTTCCATCTAATAATGCCTGACACTAGTGTCACTAAATTTATGGGCTTGAAGTGATGTATGGTAATAGATCTTTGAAAAATATGCAACTATTGTTCATGTAATTTCTTTAAAGAATGTAAAATAATGAAGCAGCCATGCATATTGTGACATGTTGCGTCAGCGCTCCATTCCCCCCCCCTCCACGGTGACGTAACACGCAACGCAGCTATGACATGGGTAACAGCCAACAGCGGTACCGATTGCGTAACAGGTGGGCGCTGCGACTATATAAGTGAACCACACTGTCTACGAAGGGAGTTGAAATGTGGCTGTCGTCGAGTTCAGGTGTTGTTGTCAGTTAAAGTGTATCAGCGGCTGAAGACAGTTCTCCAGTCAGCAGTGAACGAGTAAAAGTGTGATAATCAGTGACAGTTTGTGAAAACTGAGAATTAATCGGGAGTGTGTAACACAGTGACACTTATATAGCTCCCGTACTGTGAAAACGTGTAGACTACTGACAATAGAGTGATTTGATTTGTGAATAGGGTTATAAATTGTGAAACCCCGCAACATTGTCATAATTAATTGTAGCTGTTACTTGTAGGTTGTTGAATAAACCAATTAACAATCTCTACGGCGTCTTCAGTAACAAAACACGTTACAATATTGTCGCGTATCGGCTGTATATCGCGACAAATAAATTCTCGATGTATTCGATGTAGCGAGTTTTATTTCACATTCGCTCATACAATCACCCAAATTACAATCTGACGATTACTGCTACCTGCAGTATCACAATTAGTACACTCCAAATGCCACAATACAACTGACTGGTTGCTGGCTAACTCGACGATAGGTCCAGGACTCGCTGACTGACTCAGTACAACTCAGTACAACTCTTAGTACAACTCACTAGTCCAACTCAGTACAACTCTGCACAACTCGGTGGTAACGCACTAGAACTGACTGTGAATAGCCTTCGCTGCTCCCTATGTAGCCTCGATCGGACAATACGGGAAAACGGCCACGTAATAGGCACCCTCTTTGCCTGGCGCTGTGTTGCTATGTAACGCTAGCGGAGGTCACCGCTGTTACTATCGTAACGTCGCCGCTGTTGACTCGCGTTGCCTAGCGACCGCGATATCCCTCGGTGACGTCACCGCGGAGGGGAGTGGCGGGGCGGGAACTCGCCTATTACCGTAAGAACGCGAGCGTTACGTTACCGCTGGGGAGGTAGGGGTCAACATGTCACAATATATTTACTTTGGCTATCAGTTTGTTTGTGATAACTAATGAATTTTCAGAGCTAGGCATGTGAAATTTTGTTTCAATAGATCATAAACATACCTACATACAATGTCTGAAATATTGGTTATAAGCCAGTAATTATAAACATGATGGTTATGTAGAAAGTGGAGGTTATATTCAATGGAGACAGAATCTATGCTTAAAAATGTAATTTTCACAAAAATAAAATAGAATAAAATGGAGTAATAATAGTAACTTCTGTAGGACTACAATTACATGTGTGCAATAGGATAATTGCATTTATGAGTTTGCTTAGAATTTCATGTTACTTTATGTTTTAGTTTTCATATGTATTAGGGGCATTTAATTTTATTTCATTACACTCCTTACATGCCATTAACATTACTTCAGGATCATTTCTCCTAAGCATAAGGTTGTATTGTTGTGGTTCAAATAATCCTAAATTAATCAGGATTTTTATGACTGTGTTTGCTGTTTATGAATTTGCATGTGGGATATTGTGGAACTGTTATTTCTGTTTTATTTTACTCTTTCCAGTTGTTTTTGGCTGGGCAGCAACCATAATTCCACGTGCCTACACATATTATATTTCCACTGCGCTTTTCGCCATTTTTGGACTAAAGATGTTAAAAGAAGGTTATTACATGTCCGCAAATGAAGCACAGGAGGAGTTTGAAGAGGTGCAATCGGATTTGCGGAAAAGAGAGGATGAGGTATCAGTTGCTTTTCTGTGACAGCTAATGGAGTATGTGAATATTAGTCTTAAAATTGAGATACAATGTAATATTTTCTTTATTTACAGTATGAGAAGGAAGCGTCGGCATCCTTAGTTCAAGACCCAGAGTCTGGAGTTATTAGAAAATCTGTAAAACCTGCAAAGACTATATTATCATTAATATCTAGAATTTTTATTCAGGCCTTCACACTTACATTTTTAGCTGAGTGGGGTGATCGTTCTCAGTTGACCACAATGATTCTTGCAACTAGAGAGGTAAGTTGTTATTAATTGTGACAGAATTATAACTTCTCCTTCATCTTTAAGGGACTGGGCTGTCTGGTCTCTTCAGACTTATATTTGCAGTTTAATTGTAGTTTATTTAACCACAATGTCAGTAACTCAAGCTACATATTGTTGCATGATTGGATGGTAATGAATAATGAATTGGGAACGTTGTGGAAGGAAGCAATAATGGCTGTCAAGATACTTGGTGTTCTGATCAGAATTTGAAATTGGCAACTCCTGAATACAAGTTCGAATTATTATTACTTGAGTCAGCTTGCTTACTCATAATAATTGAGAATTAATTATTAAACTGTTAACTATTTAATCATTTGGTAGGAACTGTAGGATGAGATTTCAATCTAGAGTTGTCTAGGACAGCAAGGCAGATATGTGCATATACAAGGTGGTTCAAATATGACCGGGACTGATTTTTTTTTTTAAACCAAAATTGCCAAACACTTACTTGCACATGTCAGTCTTCAACGTATTCCCCTCTGGAGTCAACACATTTTTTCCAATGTTCTGGAAGCATCCTGATGCCCTTTTCAAAAAAGTTTTGTGGTTGGCGGCATATCCACTCCCTAACATTCTGGATGACGGTGTCGTCCATAAACCGCATGCCTTGCAAGTCTGATTTGAGCCTTCCGAACAGGTAGAAATCACTTGGTGCCAAGTCGGGACTGTACGGTGGATGTGTCAGAAGGTTCCATTTCAATTTCCGGAGGGTTTCCATTGTTGTTTTGGCCGTATGGGGCGTGCATTGTCTTGAATGACAGAAATCTGAGAAATCGGCATTTCCACCTCTCTTCCGCTTGGATCGGATCTTTTCCTTCATGTCTGTTGCCAGGAGGTCTGAGTAATAAGCTGCATTGACTGTTCTGGCATCTGTCAGAAAGTCTACATGGATAACCCCCTGCCAGTCCCAGAAGAACGTTGCCATCACTTTTCCTGCCGTACGGCTCCTCCATGCTCTCTTGGGTTTGGGAGGACTGGTATGCTGCCACTCGTGTGATGATTGCTATGACTCGGGAATGAAATATTGCACCCACATTTCATCGGCGGTCACTATAGACTTCAAAAATGTATCACCTTCGTCTTCAAACTGCTGTAGGAGACCACTGACAACTTGCATGTGCACCATTTTGTTCACGTCCGTCAAAGTGTGTGGTACCCACCGTGCATTCACCTTGCGATAGTGCAGGTGGTATTTCATGATGTCTTCTACACTACCAACACTGATGGACAGCATTTCTCAAAGTTCCTTGATAGTGATGCGCCTATTCTCACAATTAAGTGCGTCTGCATGATCAGTGTTTGGCTTGGTGACGGATGTTCACGGCCGACGATCATGCGGTTCATTCTCCACGACCTCTCTGCCCTCTCTGAAGCACTTACACCGCTCAGACACACAGGTCCGTGAGAGACACTCTTCCCCATACTGTTGTTGGAATCTGGTGAATTTCAGTGGACAGGACGTTTTCTTCAAGGAGGAATTTGATCACAATGCGTTGTTCCACGCTCCACGGTACCTTCTGTTCACTCATCATTCTAGCAACTTCTAGACAGGACTGAACAGGTTCTAACCCTAACAGGAGGGAGGGTGGAGGTTGTGGCTTCACTCTCTCAAGGTCGCACAGCTGCTGCACAGTGCAGCTTGATTACAAAAGATCAGTCCCGGTCATATTTGAACCACCTAGTACATTCGTGCCCAGAACAAGAATCAGACATGCATTCCAATGTTTCAACAGTCTGCCACAAAACAGACCTTAAATACTGGGGTTGGTTACATGTTTTAAGGCTTCAAATTAAAATATGCTGTTCTTATTTGGATTATTATTATTATTATTATTATTATTATTATTATTATTATTATTATTATTTTGGAGGGGGTGGGTTTCCCCATGCACTGCAACTGTGAAACTTCTACCTGAGTTTCTCTTCTGGCTCCTAGAATTTTGAAAACTCTGTAGACCCATGATCTAGACACTGTTTTTAAAGTCATGGTAATAATCTCAGATTTCTTTCTTCTGTACCAAGCATTAGGCCCAAGGGCGTGTTGCAGTTCTTTAAGTTTGGTCTTGCCGTCATTTTCTGGGTTGTCCACAGCTTCATATTTCCTGAAGTCTTATAGTCCACCATTTGTCTGGGAATTCTTTTTTCAGTCACATGTATGTAGTTTTTCCAGTTTTGTCTGTATTTATTGACAATGTAATTCAGTCTTTCCACGCGTAATTTATTCCTAATATCATCTTTCTTGATTTTATTTCATTTTGTTATTCAAATCACTGATTTAAAGAATCACATCTAGGCAGCATGTAATTACTTTTGTTCCTGTGCATCATGACCCATATAATCCACCTCTTACTTCCATAGTTTTATACAACTTCATCTGGGTGTCCATTTTATTTTTCAAGTTTCTTCTATAGTGCCAGACAGTTAAATCTTTTAATTTTGTGTTTTATATATTTTTTTACAAATGTGAGTTGTAACATCCCAGAAAATTTAACTTATTTACTTGTTCCTCCTCACTAACTGACACCTTGATGTGTTGAGGAGGTCTGTGAATCCCAGTGACCCTGAGAGTGATGCTGGCGGGAATGTAAGCTCCTGTTAGAGCAACCCATGGTGGTAAGGTCAAAGGATAGGCATCAGATGAAGAGTGTTCCCTGGCCTTCCTGGTTGGGGGTTGTATGGTAGGATGGGAACCTTGCGCCATAAGAATCTTATTCATAAGCTCAAAGGAAGTATAGCTGGATAAATGTGCATAATATAGATTGGAAACAGAACAAGGATAAATGATTTTGAATATCTTTGATGTTATGCCCCCCCCCTTTTTTTTTGTATCTGTACAAACCACACATTGTCACTAGATACTGGTGCAGCATTTGGGTTTTGTCCATCTGTTACTGTAATCTTTTGTTTTTTCCTGGTACACTTTGTATCTGTGGAAACAGATGTAAAATCCAGGTTATGTGATATAATGTTTCAGGTTATATCTCTGTTTTAGGATGTGATAGGTGTCACAGTTGGAGGAATTCTTGGTCATGCCCTTTGTACAGGGCTTGCAGTTGTGGGAGGGCGATTTATCGCTCAGAAGATATCTGTCCGAACAGGTGAGTGGGCATATTGTCTGAACTGCCAAATGTTGTATGCTATCTCACTGAGTTAGTTTTTTTTTAATGTAAATAAATTAATATGTACATTAGGCCTACTTTGAGGTGTATCAATATTTGTAGAATATGCAAAAGTTACTATTTTTTAATCTTAATTTCTATGTTGTAAATTGAAATTTAATTCTTATGTATCAATAGGCAACCCAAGTAGGTTAAAATTTTGTAGCCTTATAAAATTTTCTCTGGTATCTTGTTAATTCCTCTCTCTTAGGTCCAGATCTTATTGTTCTCAAACACCTAATTGTATTCTCAGTATCTGTGTTTAAGGTTAAATGTGTTTTCTCTGGTTCTTTTTCAGTGACCTTGATTGGTGGTGTAGTGTTCCTGTTGTTTGCTATTACGGCATTATTCTTTGATCCGAATGAAAAATAAGAAGTACTTGTCATAACAGCTGTCACTTAACGGAGCTTAATGCTGATCTGAGCAGTATTGTTTGAAGTTTGCTCAATGACTGCCTTGATAGTCTCAAGTGATTGTAATGGACTTTGCCCTGATGTGAACAGTTGGTGCATGTAAGTCTGAGTTTCATCTGCTTAATGATGGCTGAAATTTGAAGGTATTAAGCTATTATATTTTAAAATTTAGACTGAAGTAATATGTTATGATTGTGATATGTTCAGTTATGTTCGTGTCATGATAAATAGGTTGGTATGAACATGTGTAGTTTTGCTGTAGCTTGCCCATATTGTGTGTCCCTTACAAGTGGGGAGTGTCATGCACATTTACATTTTAATATCATGCTTTTAAAGAAATGTAATATTATTTTCATGTGTTTTCCAGGAGTCGAAGTGAGTTTCAGAGGTCATGTCATTTTGTTTTATAAAAATAAATGTGCCAAAGTATTATTAATATTTGTTTTTGTTAAAATTCTCGGAAGCTTACATTGCCTACTTCACATCGTATTAAATCTGAATTAGTGTTTACTTTTGTACCTTTTTGGGGAATGTATCTTAGGGATGGAAGTCAATTTTTGCACTCATGTTTTTCGAACCTGATACACCTGTAATGTGAGATAAAGGATTTATGTCAACACAGTCCTTCAGAAGATTCACACCTTGAACAGCGTCACAAGTTCTGAATTGTGATTGACTAATTCCATCTCTTTCAGAGATTAACAGTTGCTTGGCAACTTGGAATTTTCTCTTTTATGGAATTTTAAGGTTCATTACTTTGTTCCCAAGTGCACACTCTTTATTATAATTTAAGTTCAGTTTAGCATATGTGACCGTGTGTAATTATACAGCCGTGTTCATACACCTGAAGATGACCTCTTAAGCTTGAAACATTTAGTGATAATGTGTAATAAAAACATGATGTGTAGTCGGTAAATTCACTCTACTATTGAGCAAGCAAGTAAACACAAAGAAAACTAAGTATATGTTGCTGTTTCATCACCAAAATGCAGGGCAAAATCATGACATAAATATAGGAAACACATGTTTTGAAACTGTGGCACAGTTCAGATATTTGGGAATGACGATAACTAATCAAAACCTGATTCAGGAGGAAATTAAGAGGAGATTGAACTCAGGTAATGCTTGCTACCATTCAGTCCAGAACCTTTTGTCTTCTCGTCTGCTGTCCAAAAACAAACGTTAGAATATACAAAGCTATAATTTTGCCTGTGTTTCTGTATGGGTGTGAAACTTGGTCTCTGACATTAAGGGAGGAACATAGACTGAGGGTGTTTGAGAACAGTGTGTTGAGGAGAATATTTGGACCGAAGAGGGATGAAGTGACAGGAGGTTGGAGAAAACTTCATAATGAGGAACTTCATAACTTGTACTCTTCTCCAAGTAAAGTTAGAATGATCAAGTCAAGGTTTGCAGAGCATGTAGCACGAATAGGGGGGAAAATGAATGCATATAGGATATTGGTGGGAAAGCTAGAAGGAAAGAGACCACTGGGAAGACGAAGGCATAAGTGGGTGAATAATATTAAAATGGATCTCAGAGAGATAGGATGGGATGATATGGATTGAATTGATGTGGCTCAGGATAGGGACCAGTGAAGGGCTCTTGTGACCATGGTAATGAACCTTCAGGTTCCAGAAACTGCTGAGAAATTCTTGAGTAGCTGCACAAATGGCAGCTCCTCAAGAAGGGCTCAGCTCCAAGAGTAAGTAAGTTAGCATAGTTGGTATAGTGACTGGCTATGGGCTGGACAACTGAGGGGTCGAAGTTTGAATCCCAGCATTGTAAAGAATTTTCTCTTCTCCACGTCATCCAGACTCACTCTGGAGTCCACCAAACCTCCTATCCAATGGGTACTGGGGTTTTTTTTTTCCCGGAAGTAAAGCAGTCCGGGCATGAAGCTGACCACCCATCTCCAGCTAGTGCCGAGATCAAGAAAATGTGGATCTTTACATCCACTTCCCCATACACCTTCATGGTTTATCACTTAATTAGTTAAGCACAGGGACAGAGAACCAAGCAGGACTGCCTATATATTTATTTTTCTACATAGATAGCAGTGCTGCAGTGTTATGGAAGGGATGTTGTCTTGAAAACATGTCTGTGTATTGAAAATTCATAATGTGAACTGCACTTTTCAGTAGACTCCCTTGTTACAAGTTAATGTGAATTCATATGGAAATTTTTCTGGCCCACAGTTATGCTAGAAACACACTTTTTTACCTGTCAGAAACATTAGCAGATGCACAGTTTTAATAATTTCCACTTTTCAGGCTTCTTAAGTAAGGGTAACACATTGCTCAGTCTGAAATAAAATTGGAATAGTAACCACACCACCACTCATTTTCCTCCATCACTGACCAGCGCATAGGCTAGGCACTTATTCTGTTGCATCACTGTCACGTGTAGGTGTGTGTGTGTGATAAGAGTATAGTTTTGGCTGGATTTGTTATTGTTTTGCATTTTATATTTCAAAATTGTCATATTTATCCAGGATTTCTGTAAGCGCAAATTTATGATTTGTATCATGAATTTTATTGCCAAATTTTATAATTGTGTAACCCAAAGATTCGCATTGTGAGGATGTGCAGTAATTTATGTCAGAAATCTTAGATTCAGTCATGAGAATTACAGCTACAACAGAATTAATTATTGGAAAATTTGATAATTATGCATGTTTACTGTGTGATGAAATGTGATTTATTTCGTAACCCTGTCCATACAAACAAAAATAAACTCTGTGGCCTGTAGCCCACAAGTGAACTATACTGACTGAGCGACCGCCTCTTGTCAGCGAAGTTAGTGCCAACTTCAGCAGGCAGAGGGTGTTTGTGTGTGACAATGTAGATGGAGCTGGTGATTAAGCGTTAATGTTCTGGGCTCCCATGCCAGAAGTCTGGGGTTTGAGACCAGCCAAATGGAGTATTAATTTTTCCTCATACTGTCTTCATTTGTCATCTCTGAAAAAGTAACAACTTTAAGAGCATGGATAATGCGAGGCCTTTGCTGCTGTTCAGAATTAATTTTATGCTGCAAGTCTGATATTTTGGTTAATGCCTTTATCTTGTCATCAGAATTGAAAAGAGTCCTGCCTCCTGTCATCAGGTCTAAGTAAAATTTTGTCCTATGGATACTCCTATCTTAGAAACAGATTTCTTCACCTTTGTTAGTGACCAGAGAGACCAGAAGATCATAACTGGATTTTCAGGAAAGAAACATTTAGAGCCATCAGTAAAAGTTTAAACACTGACAGAAATTTGAAATAACATGAAGGTATTCAGGTTGTTGGCAGTTTGTAGCTAAACTTATTTCTCTTCATGGTTAATGATACCATTTTATAGTGGGCTGGCTTTTCAATGCTTTGGAACCCTAATCTTTTGCCTCAAACAGCAAAAATTAAGACCATATCAGTTTTCTTTTCTGTTCTTACTATGAGAAGGTACAAACTTTCTTATTCCAGATAAATATAAGTAAATTGTTAATAAATATTTATTTGTGGTTGAAATGATTTAATGTCAGAGTGTAATGTAGTGAAGAAAGTGATATTAAATCCATCAGATTTTCCTTTGCATCCTTGTTTGCATATATGATTTATGATGTTATTTTATATTAACATCTTTGTCTTTCTCATTTCATGGTGTTGCTAATCAAAACTGACTGAACCCCTCATACTCATTCTATCATTTCCAAAGTCCTCCTTGGTCTTGCTCTCATTTCGGTTTATATTGTAGCATCAATTTGATATTATTTTATCGGCCATTCTGTCCTGAGTATTTAATTTTTTCTTTTGTGTAGGAGCTAAAACTTCTATTTCGAAGTAATACATGCAGTTCATTCATAGAAACATTTGTTTATATGTCATGATTATTAATTGCATGTGGCCTAGAACAGTTTCTGAAAGAAGTAACCCTGTAGTCAAACCAATGCGATACCAATGTAAGCTTCTTGTATACTTCAAGTGACTGGAGATAAGTTACAATTTACCATTTTGAATTGGTTTTTTTTTTTGAATTGTTTCATTTTGGTCCGTTACACTATCAATCACAAAGTTAATAGAAAGTCCGTCGAGTGTAACAATTTGTAGGTCACTTTTTTTATTATTATTTCTGCCGTACATGTTTCGGTTTAACACAACCATCATCAGAGGCACTTGCTATAATTATGGAAACACTGTCGCTGTTTTTTGATGTTCACAATTATGTTTGTCGTTTGGACGCTGCTACGATATGTTGACGTGTAAAAGCACAAAATATGCTAAGATAGTTGAGTACACTCTCAAGTTCTCACTTTTCATCCGAACCTATTTTTAAGTTAAAACGCTAAAATGTTAAAATATTTGATATAAAATGCTGAACTCCTCCTTATTAATTCATCCCGAAGATGGGAGACGTCAGACTTTGTACAATTTACCCTTTTGATGCCTGAAATTGATCTTTATAAGTTCAGTTCATACATGACTGAAAGCAGCACAATCTCCATCACAAAGATCAGTCTATCAATACTGCTTAAGGAAAATAATTGCTCATTTCTAAGGGGTTTTGAGAGTGGTATATGACATTCAGATTATTGAGTTTTTGGACTTTGTGTATCATCTCATATTCAAAATGAACATGGTATTTTGAAAAATGTTACCATCCTCAGATGAAAGGGTGGGGTTAGAAAGAGCTAATGTCAGACCCTTTTTAAAGGACCCAACTGAGTAGGTGCTCCCTACTATTTTACCGAAGGATGGAAACACATCCAGTTTCCAAAAAGTATTCTTTTAGAATATGCAATGATGAACAAATTCCATAAACTCTGTAGTGCTGAAATAATCATGGTTTATTCTGAAATCACATGACACTCATAATAATTATACTCTGTGGGCAAAGTGTATAGTTTTTTAAGGTTTAAGTAGGTGATACTGTACATATAGCAAAGACTGATTTTGAATGTTAACAAACACATTTTGTTTTTTGCATGCGTATGTTATTAGTGTGTTACATGCTCAGTCTTTAATAAGCCAGGAATGAGAAAAGTATAAAGCACAAAAGGAAGTCCTCAGAATTTGTAAATTCATGAACAGTTTCCTGATGTATATATATTTATTAGCAATCAGAATTAAATACATTCTTTAAGCTAATTTGCTAATTTAAACACCGTCCTCGTGTGCTTATTGTATCATGATGTGGGCTCCTCCAATGAGAGATCCTCTTCAACCATCAAGTGGATCTGCTGGCCATAATTTCTTTAACCTTCTTCATTGTTGTTCCAGTAGGAGCTGCAGTAATGTATTGCTATGGTGTCCTAGTTTATCATGATGTTTTATGCTTTTTTCTTGGATGACTTCTTTGATGAATGATACATTGAGNATGTAGGGTCTGATTAGTCACGTACCAAGGTGCATTTGTGACCATTCACAGTATTTTGGACTGCCTTTGTTGCATTATGGCTATGTTCAATTTACTGGCGCATCCCCATAGTTTGATTCCATAGGTCCAAATAGGCTTTATGATTGTCTTGTAAAGAAGTACTTTACTATCTAACGATCTGCTAGATTTACTTCCAGTGATCCAATGTAGGTCTATTTGTTTTCTTTTTTTGGCTATATGCTGCTTCCAATTAAGCCTGGAATCCAGGTGGAGTCCAAGATACTTTACTGTTGATGATTGTGGAATTACAGTATTATTTATGTGTATGGCTGGGCACTGCTCTTTTCTCGTTGTGAAGGTGACCTGTATAGATTTGGTTTCATTAATGTGGATTGACCACTTTTTTAACTAAGTTTGTAATTGGTCTAGATGACTTTGTAGTCTTTGCGAGGCAGTTACTGGATCATCATGGCTGGCAAGAATGACCGTGTCATCAGCAGATGTCCCTGTTGTAGCGTAAGTAGTCATTGGGTGATCTGTTGTGAATAGCACATATAATATCGGGCCTAAAACGCTCCCTTGTGGGACTCCAGATTGGATGGTGAAGTTGCTGGATACCTCC